GTGACCGTTTTCCTACTTCAGAGCTAAACCATGTTAATTTACAACAGTGAAAGCCATGAAGGAGGTTCTAGAGGAAACCAGGCAGCAACTTTTAGATGATAAAAAAGGTAAAAATAATAAACATAATTACCATACCCAGCTGCGGTCCCGTACACCCGTATCCAGATAATTTTTAAAAACGAAGTATTCTTATGACGATGGTCTCATACATCATTTCACTGGCGAAAAATGTCTACGCATGCGCCGCGACAAAAATCACGTGGTCGATTTCCGGCAAAGTCATTGGCTTAGAGACAAAATCCCCGCGAAATGTTGTCAAGATGAAAGAAGAAATGGCAGCATTTTTTGTCTGTGGTAGTGTTGTTTTTTCTGCTATAAATTGACACGACTTGACTGCCATTCGGTCTGCACACACTGTAAACAGAAATTTTGAATTTTTATGCGTGGTTCAAATTCAACGCAGTATAGCAGTACACAACAGAAAATTAAAAAGCAGAGGGATAAATTTGATTTACCTTACACCTAGTTGCAGGAAAGTGGTAGCTTACCGTTTCGGGCGCATTTTCATTGATCAAAACAAATATTCTGACTACTAAATCTGAGCTCACATGCACTGTTCATCGCAAAGGTTTGCGCTTGGTTTAAGTTTCCTGCATCTCGATGCAACAGAAAATTATAAAACAGGGAAAGCAATATTCTTTGACTTTGTTTTAACATATAAATTATCTTACGGAAGTGACAGTTGTTGAAAGCGTATGTCCCACTTTTGATGCTGATTAAAATTCGACTTGATTTTGATCGATCTAACATTTCATATTTTTTAAGTTGATTAAACTGGAAGTTATAGCACTGTATAATTTGGACATTTTAGGCTTACTGTGGAATTTCAAGAACGTGATAGTCTTGTAAAACGCGAAAATATACTCTTTTGGTTATGAAAAATTTTATTTTCATCGAACCAACTAATGTCACAACCAAGATTATCTATTCTAGAAATTTTCTGTTGACTGTGTACAGCTAAGAAACGACGATTCGATTAAAGTATTTTGTGGAATCATCCACAACGAGTACAAAGGTTTGGGTTCTCTGTGTTTACTTTTCTGCTTGGTAATAACTTAAGGGTGATCAGAGTGGATAATGTGTCTTGCGTTTAACTAGCTTCCCTGGCAGGCAGCTCTGTTTCTAGATTTTCTATCTAAATATTTAGGCGTAACCAGCTGCAAAGCTGAAACATCTTTTCAAGGTATAAGATATGGCAAACTTAAGGTAATCACTCCCCCGCCAAAATGAACTTACAGAAATTGATTGTTTGGTTTAACATTTGACATTAAATTGTTTTCTTTGGTCTATGGTGTTTTTAGACAAAAGTTTTAAAACTTTTAGTTGGATCATCTTGATGAATAGTACTTTGAAGCATGAAATGCAGTTTCCTACTTAGTCTGAGCTTTCAAAACAAGCTAAATTAATTTTGTTAGTTAACAAATGATGAGACATGCTTTTATTTAAACTTTATAAACTCACTGTAATTACCTATACAGTAAAAACCTGTGGCTAAGAACCTGGTTTTTAGGAGCCTGTCAGGCTAAAATTTGTCAGCTACAATCATAGTCAAAAATGTTGGGAAGGTTACCACTTTGTACCTTTCTTGTACTTGTCTTCCCCCCCCATGGATCAATTTTGGACAAAACTTGTTTTGTTTTTTGTTCGTTTGTCACGCGTTTGGGGAAAATTGTTGTTACATGTCCCAACATTGAATGGGGGGGGGAGTATTTAGGAGAAGAACAAATAATCTTTTTTGAACATAGATATAAGGCGTATGAAATGGAGTAATAATGTTGTTAAGTTATTCAACCTTCCCAACTACTTTTGTCCGTGATTGCAGCTAGACCTCTCTATACAACTACAATGTAATGGTGTGAGGATTTTATATAAGGAATATGATGAACAACACTAAATACTGTTAGCTACAACGTATTTTTTTCCATGAAGAACCTATTTAAGAACCTAAATAGCCTAAATTTGTGCTTATGACCATTAAAGGGGGGAAAGTGCAGGTTCTTAGTCAGGGGTTTTTATTGTATTTATTATTTTAACCCCACATTTATTACCAAGCCGTAATAAATGCATGGGCTTATGCATCAGTCAATTTCAGCTGCGCCCAGAGGACGGACAACGGGACGGAGAGGATGGATGACGGGACATTTGCCCTCTTTTTTCGTCCAAACCCCGAAGGATTTGACAGCTCAACAGAATAGTATGAATTTCAAGTACCTTTGTCAGAAGGAAATAAAATCAATAAAAATCTGAAACATCATATTCATGGAAAGATCTTGGCTTTTTACTTTTTGTAGCCGTTTCGTATGTACACAAAGTCACTTGAGCAACCAAAACAAAGTAATAAATATTCCAACCAACATGTCCTCTGCTTATACTTATAAACGGAATGAGCACTGCGTAAATGATATTGATCGTTTTTACCGGACTTTAGTAGAACATCGGGGACACCCAACGACAATTTTCGGAAAATATTTGTTCGGAAGACGATTTGAGATCTAGAATTTTCGGAACATTTGTTGTAAAATTTCTTGCTTGCCTGCCTCTCCTAGGATGTTCGAACATCTAAAAAAGGGTATAATTGCCCATTTTTAACGGATTTTTACCCTAAAAAGGTCACCTAGAACTTTCGGGAGTCTTTTTTCTGGCTGAAATGATCGAAAAGGTAAGTTTTGATCCCTATAATTTTCGGAGACTTTCAGCTAGGAAATCCGAACAGATGAAAAATTTTTAGGGGATAAAAATATGCCTATGTCTACTATTTAAATACTAAAATACGCTTAACAATGCTATGTTTAAGTGGTTTTGAACAATATTCTCGTTGGGTGCCCCTGGAACATTCGATAAGGTGGAGTCCATGTTAATTCAGAGAAGCTCATTTCATCATTTCCTCATCTCCTAACCATTTATAAATTGCTGACTCGTGCAAACACGTTTTACACGCTTTCACATAGTCTAAAGGATATTCAAAAGGATGTTCTTAATCAAAATTAATTGCCATTTTTATTAGTTCATTCATTGTCTATGAACTGACTGAAAAGCTCTTACAACTTAAACTATACCGAAAGTGTTATTTGTCCAAGTAAATTATAGTATTCTAAGGCCTCAGTTGCCCGGAATCTTAAATCAAATTTACTTGTAGTGTACATACCTTTCCCGTAATTTCAGCGAATAGTGAGTCGCGACAATGAACATCAATAATATACTCAAATGTGTCACTTATCGTGTTATATTATATTCTGTACCTGACACTTCTGAAACAGCAATATTTTGGTCTGCGGTGGTCTTAAGGATTACCCCATTTCCCTTTTTACATATACTTTGAGATGACTCCTTCCGGCACTGAGATACCTGCCACAATTTCAGCGGCAAGTTGGTTTTAAAACTGTTAGTTTCTTTGCGGAGTGTTTATTTGAACCAAAAAGATAAACTAATCAATCATTTCAGGAGCTGATTTTACAAGCTTTCCCGGCCAGGCGTGACCTGATGTTGGCCCTTTTATGTTAAAGGAACAGTATCGCGGAAATTCTTGTCACGTATATAGTGTTAGGATAAAGAGCATGAACTTTAAGGCTCCAACATTATTGAAGAGGTAGACTGTAACTGAGTCCTCGAAATAAAGCTACAATTTAGATTTTTTGTCTTTTTTCTTTTCTAGTCACAATGGCGGAACTTGAAAAAAAGTTAGGTTAATTTTCTAGCTTTCAAAGTCCAGTTCTCTCCTTCATCAAATGGCTAAAGATAACCACGTACTTCATAACCAACCAGAAATATGTTTGGAATGTTTTCATTGCTACAAATACATCCCTGGGTTTCTTCAAATTTCGTGACTTTCATTTTCTAAACATCATTTTAATAAACTAACGGACTCTTTTACAGCACATCAATAGGAAGAACCAAAATTTGATAGTCCCGTGATTTACTTACTACCGAGCAAAACACTTAAACATATAAGACTTCCTTTGTTTATCAGTATACTCTTCGCACTTTACACTTGCTACGCGCAAGATCGAGTGTTTTCATTTCACTCTGAGAATGCATCAGCCCACAGAAAAGCACTACAACGTTTACAAAATAAACCGTCTTGAAATCACACCGAAGAAGTTTGTTTTCGGTTCGAGCGACCAATATCTCGGCAAGCACCAGGTATGAGCACGCGCCTTCTTATATAAACACAAGGAAAGTTTCGTGAGGAAATGGGGCTTGGGTCGAACCAGCCTAGTGAAGCAGGCAAGCCTGGCTTACCTTACATAAATAGGACCTAAGTGAACTTTGGGTCAGTAAACTTGTCACTAACCTAATCGGGGCACTGCAGGTTATGCGAGGTTCGTTCTAGGGTTCTTGTAGCCTTGATTCACCTAGAGACCGCAGATTGTCAAGTGTTGCCTGTTTACCTTAAAATGAAGGGGGAGGTGAGGTGGGGGTAAAATGCAGAGAGGGAGGAGTAGCTATCTTTTCTGAGTACTGAGACTGCCACATTATTCGGGAACAGAGAGATCTGCCCCAAAAAGTCTGTTTGCGCCTGAAGACTTGAAGGGCTTTGAACTTTGAGAATAATTTAAAAAAAAAAATGCGCGAGTGAAACCCGCCTTTCCCTGAAAGAAGTGATGGGAAGTAAAAAAAAAAACGATTCCCGCAGCAGCTTTGTAAGGAGCGACCACACCGCCACCTCGAGTGATTCTCACGCAAAGCACGTAAATTTGCGACCATGTCTAGTAGTCACCATTGGTGTGCAAACACCGTAGTTTAAAAAGTTTAAATTACTTTTTATGAGCTGACCTTGATATGTTTACAAAATTGCAATTTTTTTCAGTTTTATTGAGATTGCGGTAACAACAACGACGATAAACTGCAGTCTATGCAAACCTTACATATGATTAACCAAACAACAAATAATAGAGTGTTTTGATTCATTTTAAAATAAAACAATAATCAATGCATAATTTCTATTTAAAAAGGTCCTGATTTCCTCTTCCAAGTTTCTTAAAAGACTTATTTAAGAAGGCGGCTTGTTTTTGACTGAAGAAATCCCTGCCTTTGATTAATATTTCTTTTTCTAATGCTTGAAGTTGTGTATCTGATTCTACTCCCGCTCTAGAAAAACACCAAACGCATTCACAAAGTTGACCTCCATGTAAATTATTGAAATCACTTGCTGAAAAAGAGCTGACTAAAAGCCTGTAAAATTCTTTGCTTCCTCTCTTGGCCTCGATAAACCCACGCATCAACATGCGCTTTTCTTTCATAGTGAACTCCCGAACTCCACGGTTGAAGGCTTCTCGTTCAATGATATCAAAAAGCTCACTGTCTGACTTGTGAGCTCTTCCAAGAGACCAGGCAACTTGACTTAAATCACCGTTTGTTACGTCTGTAATTTTCCGTGAGCACAGTTCACGTTCAATGTGCGCCACCAACTGATTATCGTGCCTTCGAGCAGAGACAAAAGACCATAAGATCAAAAGCAGCTCATGACTTTGAAACTTGTGGACAGATCGTTTTAAAACCTCTTTCTTGACAAGTTCAAAAACTTTTCCCTTCGTCAGTTTTCTTTTGGCAAAAGACCACACAATTTCCAACAAGTGGACGTTGAGGAACTTGTTTACGCCTCGTGAGAGAAGTTGATCATCTAAAAAAGTGAAAAAATGCTTGCTCCCTTTTCCAGCTTTGCTAAATGCCCAAAGAATCTGAATAAAACTACCATTATTAAACTCGTGAGTTCCGCGTCTAATAATCTCTCCTTCTACTCGACGAAATAATCTGTCTGCTTTAAAACCCCTCTTTGCAAATGACCACACAAATTCTGCAAGGGCATGATTATCAATCTTCAAGAAGTCTCTGGAAAGGATTTCTTCCAAGAAGACTCGAAATAATCCCAAAGAACCATTCTCTGCCTTCGCAAATGACAGTAATATTGCGGATAGCAACTGATTATCAAATGTAGAAATTTCTAAGTGACCATTTAGAATGGCTTCTTCTAAGTGTCGGAAGATGTGTGATGCTGTTAACTCTAGGTTGGCACAGCCACTGACAATCTGACAGATTCCTGCGTTATTGAGTGCCAAAATGTCACGTGAGAGAATCTCTTTCTCACAGAATTGAACGAGTTTATGATTCTTCTCTTCTATTTTTCCCAAGGACCACATCACGTTGACAAGTCCTTTGGACTTACATTCAGATATATCTTTTGAAATATTTTCCAGTAACTCAACGTATCTGCTGCTTTGTCCTTCTCGCGCTTTTTCTCGTTCTTTCTCCAACACTAATTTCTGTTTTTCATCCTTTCCTATGATCTTTGCAATGCAGTAAAGTATTGTGACTTTGTTCACAATATCAACTGCATGTTTAACACTGTCAAACAATTCAAGTTGTTCATCAACTTTTCGTATTGATATTATTCTCTTGTTGAGGTGGATGTCGTCAATAGATGGGGAGGATGACTTTATACTGTAGCAGACAGAAGGATTCATCGAGAAGAAGCTGTTCATTATCCTTGCTGGCTCAATGGTTTGGAGTACTCGTCGCTGTGAGGTACCAGTTAGTGATGAATATCCTTGAGTCAAACAATGAAATACTCCAAAAGAACGGCAAAGCCTTAATTTCATAGCTGTGAACATTATTGGTTCTTCTTGCAAAGTTGACGAAATCTGGCTAAAAAGAAAAGAGAGGGTAAAACAAGAGAATGAGCTTCATTATCAATGCAGAAACATGTATTATTGAAGTTGACCGCAAAGAAGGATATGCAGGTTGCCGGACAGGCGTATAAAAGACACAGTATTTCTCTCCTTATGTGCCAAAGAATAGCTGTGTAGTTGGTAATATGTTGCTCCAACTTAATCTATTTCTGCTGGGTGCCTAGAAAACCTAGCTTTCCACCACATAACCTACGATGAAACACACCGTAACGAGTGATTTTGAAAGTGGGACAGAATTTTGTTTCACACCTGAATGGCTTTTCTAAAAATCTAGTCACACACACTAATAATACAGGAACTTGTATAACGCCATTTCCGTGAGCTCAATGGCGCACACTCAGTACCCGTATAAAATGTGAAAGTAAAGGTTAAGTGTTCAAACATATCTTAATGAATGATGACACACTTTCCAAGACATATTAGCTGTCTCTGTTGGATCAATAGTATTTCTCCTGTTAGTAATGTCTATAATAACAATACATGTCTTTATCATTTTTATTGCCTGATGTGTTTTGTTGTTTAATAAATGTGGTTGTATCACTGAAATGACAAGAAAGACACTTGTAGTGTTAGATTTATTCTATAAAACGTCGACTTTATTGCTAAAATTGAATTGTAATTCGTTGTTATCTGGCATTTGTGACCTCACGTTGCCAACTAAAAATGCCACTTTGAAGTTTTCAGTTAGTCAACATTTTTCTCATCCATCAAGGGATTGCGAGTGTTGCAATAGCTGCTATGAGGTCAATGTGTTCTATCATACCAAGGAACAGTTTTAAGTCAACTTGAGGACTAAGAGTCAAAATATTTTTCTGTGTAAAGTAAGATTCTTACTCGAGGAGAATAATATCCTGCATGATGTTTATCTACCTCACTTTCTAAATATTTTGTATCTTGTGTGCGAATATTAAACTTTTAAAGCGTAAATCAACTCACTTACTAAAAAGGCCTCTTGCAAGTAAATGCCTAATTCTGAGTTAATAAAAATCGATTGCCAGACTTAAGGTTTTTTTTAAATTTCCTTTTGTAGTGAACTGCTACTTCTATCAACTAAGGACATGTACAAAACAAGGCCTTTTTGTGGACACAGTCCATGGACTACCCCTGTTAACAACCCATAACTATTGAATTTTAACCAGAGGTCTAAACGAATTTTAGGAACCTTAAATAGACGAAAATGTGTCAATAAATTTATATTAACAGGATTAAAGGATTTATTACCTATTTTTGTACATATTATTTTATGACTGTAAGTAGCTTTGTAATTCAGCCTTATACATACAATGTATAGCTGCAATGAGTTTCTTGTAATAAACAGACGGGGAGAAGTAGGGAGGAAGTGTTCATGCAGGCAGCTTTTTTTGTGCATCGTTGCGTTGCGTGAAGATCGACACAAAAATGGCGGCGTAAGAGACTAGGGAGGAAGAGGTAATACATGACTGAGTTTCACTCATAGCCTTTGGAAATGTTTATTGGTATACTGTCAAACAATGTGGTTGGTCAGATGCGTTACAAGTTACAACTTACAGGCTGGTTCATCTAAATAATTTTACTATTCATTCAAGTCGAGATAGTTGTCATTACAAACACATAGACATTAAGTTTCCTCCGTAGTCTCATACACAGCAGTTTTTGTTTCAATTTTCACGCCACATGAAGAGAAAAAAAAAAAGAGAGCTGCATAAAAGAATACTTCCTTCCTACCACTCCTCCTGTTGAGTTCAAATATTGTTACTCCATCACTAGAGTAAAACGAACCATTGCATTGGTATGGAATTAATTGAAAAAAAAAAAAGAACAAGTGTAAAATATGAGGAGCCCAATAAGGTTGCTAAATTTGTTTAGACTTCTGGTAAAATTCATCTTCAAAAATTAGAGGTGGTCCACAGGGCCCATGAAGGGGACCATGGACTAGGTCCACAAGGGTGGTCCATGGACTGGGGGTCCATGTAGTGTATATAATTATATGTCTATCAGCTAACACTTTCTGCAGTGCTTTACTAAGTGTGGCACCAAGTTTTAATTGACCAAACATTTCAGAAAAATGGCTTGGCTTAAGACATTAATTAGCAAACAGCAAAACGACACCGCTCACCTACAACTATGGGATCCCATGCATGGTTGCAACAGGGACAATATTAAAATCCTTAAGCTTACTTCAGCAAAATGAAAATCAAAACAATCAGTCAGAATAAAAGGGAAACACCCCCGACCCCCCCAACCCCCAATTGATATTTCTGATCATAACGTCTCACTTTTGGAGCCACTAAGCAATGCAGGGCCACATTGTAAGGTCTTAAATAGAAGTGGCTAGGTGGCTCGCTAGTCATTAAGAAGAAGAGAAGGGTAAGCTTATTGCTCACGTAGCGAGGTACAAAGAGCCTTGCGAAGAGAGTTTATAATCTCGTCACGCGTATGGTCTTAGCCAGCAGCAAACTCGGACACCCCATATTTATTTTCATTTATGAATCTATATATCGCTTGGTGTCCACCCTGACGTCATCTAGCATATGGCGTCATGGACCATGTGTTGTAATGGTAATAAAACAGCCTGGTACGTAGGAGGTCCCGAGTTCGATTCCGAACAGAAGCTGTTTTTCTTTTTCTCCTCTTTTCTTTTTTGTTTTTCGTTTTAGTTAAGTTTTTTTAGTTATTGCAGTTTAGTTTAGTCTTTTTTATATAGCATAAGTTTTTCAAATTTATAAATTTTCTTCACTAATGCCTTTAATATTTCCCTTTCTTCCTACTGCTTTCCATAAGTTCCCCCAAAGTGCTACGCGAGGCCCTGCCACTCACGTATTTCTAGTATTAAAAAGTGTTAATAAACTGTTAGAACAGAAAGCTTAAGTGAGCAGGGCGCAAAGAAAATCATTTTTACAGCTTGCCTTTCGGGTAAGCTGCAGCTAGCATTATATTTCCTAGCCCAGTCGTCATTTCAACTAGCCCCAAAAGCTTTTTAACGAGCAGAATTGATTTCACAGTTCTTCTGTTATTCGAATTCGTCAAAAAACATCACTTGCCCGTCACACAAGTTAAAAACAGAAATTATTCCACTAGCCACGGGCTATGGGACACTACTTTCTTTGCACGCTGGTGAGGTTCTTATAAATACAGGGTTCTCGTTAAATTCTAAAGTAGACACGTAGGATGTAAAAGTAGGCGGCTTGGCAATCAAGTGCTGCAGGCAATTTGAGGATTTCACTCTCTCCCTTTACACCCATACAGTAAATTGCTCAGACCTCAAAGTAGCCGGTTTTTTAGCCGGTACCCTGAAATTCATGGTCTTACAATATTTGTAAGTGGTACAACGATACGTATAAAAAAATTTGCCTTGCATTCCGTATTTATACGGCATTTTTTTCCGTTCTCCTTACCTTTTGATCTCTAATAATTTCTGTTGCATTTCAAGCACGCAAATGTACCGCCATCTTGTGTGTACATGGACATACCGTGTGCTTCTACACGAGGTACCATGTACATACCGCGTGTTACTGGGCACTAGAGAAGGAAAAACGCGCGGAAGAGAGAAACCGCGAGAAACAGTTGTTGCGTTATTCAGGGAAATTAATTTCTTCATTTGCATCTATTCGTTGTTTTGTATTTGGTTTTAAAGTTTTCTGGCTTTTACTAAACGCGTGAAAAGCACCTTGGTAATGGAGGATTCCTCTTAATGAGATGTGACTGTGATCAAAGTCTTGACCTCCCTGAATGCGAATCGCCATTTTTCTGCAACAAGGTGAGCGCTATTTTGTGTAAAAATCTCTCTTTGAAATGTTGTCTTAGAATTCTGGAGAACATGTTTGAACATTAAGAGCTTTTTTCTTTGCTAGGCTGGTTTCATCATTAAGATACTGCGCTTTATTACGGTGGAACCAAGGGATCATCAGAATGACTGGATCGAGCGAGGAAGATGATATGCCACCCACTGTCTCTTCAACAAAACGTCGGAGCAATAAACGTCCCCATAAGCTTATTTCGTCTGAATCAGATGAAGACGAAGGAAAGGCGAGGACTTCCAGGAAAGTTGCCCACAGTTTAGACAACCGGGAGACTAATGAAGATTCAGACGGTGGAAGTGAGAAGTGCAAATCAACTCTCAACTCTCAAACTCCTCGCTCTTCAGAAAGGCTGCGAAGGAAAGCTTCCAGATCGTTTTCTATGCCAAGTAGGGAAGAGTTGCTCGATTCAGTGTCTTCAGGGAAAAAACAAAACAGTCAACAAAAAGTGAAGGCCTTGAAGCCAAGGAAACTTGTGAACAACTTTTTAAGAGAGTGAGTGCTCTTGATTGAAACTGGTACATGTGTTAACAGCGCGGAACAACTTCAGAATACCCGACCACTTATTTGCATCTCTTTGAATGTCAAAAGTACCTATCGTGTTATGTCTCTGTACTCTGAGAAGTAGCTGGCTGTTGTGAAGAGTTTTTCCTCCAATAATAAATTTTACATGCACACAATCATGTGCACTGCATACAAATATAAAAATGGACATCCCATTAATTTTATAATACCCACCCCCTTTTCCCCTGGAGGGAAGTATGTTAGGGTTAGGGTTAGGGTTGCAGCAAGTCTTGCCATTTGCAGGGCAAATCTCAGAGCAGTGCCTTTGTCCTCAGTTATTTTGCCAGGGCCCAGTTCCTAAAGGCCAATAAGTGCTAATCTTAAATTAGAATTTTGTTCTGTTTTTTTTTTACCTTCCTATGTATTGGTTAGAGTAAAATTTTGTGTTATCATTACTGTATCTCGGAGTAAAGGCTCAACGGTACTTTGTAAGCTCGTGTTGCATGTTCTTAGACAAGAAATCTCATTTTGTTCTGTATATTTAGGCGCACTTCATATGTCAGTCGTGGAGAGAGATATGATTCAGATGATAGTGGTTTGTCAGACTTCATCAATGATGATGATGATGATGATGATGATGATGCCGAGTCTTCAGAGTCTACTGTAGAAAGTGATGTTAGTGTGGAAAGCAATAAGAAGGATTCTGGGATCTGTAGTGCAAGAAAAACAAAGAAAGGACAAAGACAGAAATCAGCATTGGATAGTTCAGAAAAGGAAAGCAGTCTTTCAGAGGACGATGATGTTCCATTGTCAGTTTTAAAAAACAAAAGAACATGTAGTCAGGAATTGACCGCTAAGACTTCTAGCCTTATATCTAGTGATTCAGATGAGAGCTTTGTACCTAGAAACAAAACAAATATAAAACGAAAGGTTTTGAATTGCAGTGACTCAAGTGAAGATGATCATCAGACAACAGGACAACACAACTTGGACTTATATGGTGTGAAAAAAGACAATAATGGTGAAAGGTCTGACAGTGATGATTCACTGAGTGCTAAAGATTCTAAACCATGGAAGCAATGTGTACCTTTGAGGCCAAGATCTAAGAGAGTACAAAACCTCACACAACAACATGAGGCCAAGAATCGCAAGATTTTGGGCAGTTTGTTGAAAAAGAGACAGACAGCAAAATTGGATGCTAAGGATAGACTTGCCGTAAAGCAGATGTCTAGCAATAGCAATGACAGCAGTTTGTCTAGTTCTGAAGATGATCATGATCCTTGCAAGGAAGCAACAGAGATCTTTCTGCAACATAGCAGCGAGCTTGAAGAGGATGATGATGACAGGGACTTTATTGTTAATGTTGGACAATCTTCTGATGAGGGGATGAATTCTGATGGTGTGTCACAGTTTCTTCAGCTTTTAGATAAGTTCACAAGTATAGGCAAAGCAGTGGATCCAGAAGATAGTAAAATGAGCATATCTACCGACGATGCTTCTCTGAAAAGCAGACAAAAAAGGCGTAAAAAGAGAAAAGAAAGAAAAGCTTCAAAGTGGCGGCGTATTAAGATGGCAGATGAAAGTGAAGATAGTGATGAGAATGGAAATGACGTTTGTCATAGGCATCCATTTCTACATGTTGCAGTTCTTGAAAATGACATACCTTTGGTTAAGAAGCTAATCAAGGAAGACCCTGATTGTGTTTATGAGCTTGGTTACAGAAAGAGAACTGCATTGCACCTGGCAGCATTGGAAGACAAAGTTGAAATTGTGAAATTGCTTCTAGATCATGGTTCTGATCGTACAGCTTTCGACTGCTATCATCTTCCTTCCATTGCATATGCAATGGATGGACACCCAGACTGTCTGAGACTATTACTGGATCATGCAAATGTGAAAAGTGTTAGTAAGGCAATGAGGAACAATCTACAAGGCATGAACTTGTTGCATTTTGCTGCTGGAGAGAAAAGAGATGGGTTGGAGTGTGTTGACAGAGCAAAATGCATGGAGCTGTTGTTTAGTAAAGACAAGACGTTTTGTTTAAAACTGTTAGAAGAAAGGGATGTTAGGACGTTTACTCCTTTAGCTGCTGCTGTTTATGCCGGGCAACACAAGGTAGGGAATGGCCCTTTCCCTTGCAAATTCTACAATTTTGTAAATATAGAACCTGTCCATCAATTTCACATTCCAAGCACAGGCTTACAGTAACAGCCCATTTTTTAGAAGGAATTTAAACAAAATTCACCTCATCGGTTGTGCTTTTAGGGACCATTGTGCCCCTGGACACCCAGTTTTTCGTATCTGCTAAAAGCCTAGCACCAGTGTATTGGTCTGTGTTTGATCTTCTCAAAGGTCACACCATACATCTGTTAAGTGTTATTTGGTTCTTGTCCTCGGTACGGAGGGTTTTTCCGAAGTCGCTATGAAGAAACTTGGCAATGGCTTCATTGCTGTCCCTACACTACTACATGTAAATTACATGTAATTCTTTTTATTATTGTAATCTTCAGTGTATAGAGGTCTTGCTCAGGATGGGTGCCAGTGCTTTTGCTTATAAGACTGATGATGGAGGTAACATACTACACTTTGCTGTAGAATGTGCATCACATTTTAAAGGTACCTGGGATGCTGAGAAGGACACATCGCAATGTCTAATAGAATTGCTAGAGACTACAAAGTTTCTTGTTAATGATGCTGATGATCATGGTAAGTCAGTGTTAATGTAAATCAGAAGAAACTGTTTAGTAACTAAGTTGCATTATGTTTATGGTAATAGGATCATACACTGTCGCTTACTGCTTCTCTTGAATGAAAGATGAAGAGGCAAGAATACATATACATATAGATGTACAAGCTTACGATGAAGATCATGCCACGCTTGTTGTTTTCTAGGTTTTACTCCACTGATGTATGCTTGTGAGAGTGGCAATGCTGACTGTGTCAAGGTACTGCTAGAAAATGGAGCATCACTGAATTGTTCTGTGAGTATTGTGTTGATCCTGTCCATCAGTTGTATAATTTATTATGTAGTCCTAGATACTCACTTAAGATATTTGTCATGAGTTACAGTTGTACATGTCTGATTTTAGGGATAATGAATTAAGTTTTTAATTATTGTTTTTTGCAGTTCAGTGATTTCTGCATCATTTTGGTCCACTATATTGTTTGTTTGGGAACTGCATTTTTAAGCCAAGCTCTCACATTAAATTAGATTTTGCTGTAGTATCATTCAATACTTTTATAAAGTTTATTTGCACAATGATGCAAAATAATGGATGACGAAGTTCGAGAACAACTGACTTCCTTGGCATTAGCTTGTATACAATCATGTATGCAGGGCTTCTGATATTTCACACAGAAGGGCCTCTCTGACATTTTGCTAACTTTTCTGCCAACTTCCCCTCTGTCCCTTGATATTGGGAGCTAACTAGAAAACCTAACAGTTTATTTAGCTCCCTAGCTCGCACTTTTTATCTCTCTAATATTATAAAGTTATAACCTGGCACAAATTTTCATTTATATTAAGGTAAAACTGTAATTTTACCATGAGCTGAATAAAGAATTGCTATTACTGCTCACTCCCTCCATGTATGTTTTGCGCTATTCAAGCTACAGTGGCATAGAAAACAACAAACACCCCAACTTTGAATGGAGGGGTGGAGTGTGGATTGTTTTGTTCTCTGAAGTTAACCTCATTAGAGGACAATGCCTCTTCAATTTTGTCACTGATTGCAGCTTGATTCTCTGTTTCCATGGTCTCCTAGCCCTAATTCATGAATAGTTAGGGCCAGGAGACAAAGGAATTAGAGAATCAACCCACTAAAAAATTTTAACCTGAATTCAATTTTGACCTGTAACATAGACAAATGTAGATTTATGAAGTCTGTCTCACTTAAAATTAGGAAGAGGTGCATTGTGTCTTTGATTTATTTGTCTTCTTTTGGTGCAAGTATTGTTGGTGGCTGTCATGTATGTTATATGCATAATTTATTCCATTTCTGTCAGTCTGTCCTCATTACAGTCTCTTTGATTTAACCTGGTCATGCAAAATCACATTGTACCTCATAAATGTTAATTCAGAAAGAAACAGCTTTTTTCTTTTTATTCCCTGATTAGGATAGTCACGGTACATCAAGCCTACACCTAGCAGCCATGTCAGGAGACACACAGTGTGTTACACTTCTGCTAAACTCTGGACACAAAGTTGATTGTGTGGACCGCTATGGATGGCCACCATTACTTTATGCTAACTTTAAAGCTCATGAGAGCTGTGTATTAGCACTGATGAAACCCAAGCCTGAGCAGGTCTTTGTGCTGGGAGAGTTGCTAAGACGAGCACGAAGCGAGTTAGAAAAGAAGAGAACTGTAAAGGTAGAAATGATGAGAATTTTAAGACAACTTTGTAGACCATTGTATTTTGAAATGTACATGTTTTCTGTTATGGTAAAACACTCAGGGAAAATGAGATGAATTTCAGTATTGCAGAGATTTACATATTTGTAGAGTGGAACACAGTTTATCATGTTATCCAACTCCAACAAACGCTTTTCTCGCAGCAGCCATGGTTAGTCCCCATGAGAAAAAGAGCTCTGCTTTACATGCCAGGATGGGTACATAGACTACACACCATGTTTTACTATGCAAAAATGGTAGCCATATCGTGAGGGTCTATCAAAAGGGTGAATGGCATAAGGCCTAATTACTGTAGGTACAGCTGTAGCTCCTGATTTGAGATCAATGGGACCTCTCAAGCAAGAATGTTCCTAACAGTTTGCCATTTTGAAATACATGTAGATAGCCATTCATATGCCTTAATTATTGTCTCTTTAAGTTACAGGTATAAATATACAGTTCTTGGCAATTTTAGCAGATTTGCAGGAGAATCTACGTGTAATAAAATTCATACTTTGGGCTTTATTCCAAGTACCCCTTTATAGTGGTTAGAGAGAGTCAAGATCAAAATAGCTTTCTTCTCAATAGGGAGGAGAAGTGTGACATCACATTAGTTGATTATGTACAACTTTAAACTAATCTTTTTCCAAGGTTGTCAAGAATGTGTTAGTGTCTTTGGCCAACCATGATGCCTACTACACAGTGTTTAATGACTTTATTCGACAAAACCCAGAGATGCTAGAAGAAAACAACTATGGTCTGCTTCAGCACACATGGAGGGCTATCCTTGACTTTGACAACAAAAGAAGATGGTTCCTCACAAAGCTATCACAAATCAGGTTGGTGGAATTAGACTCAAGCTCTTGAGTTTATTATTATTATTATTATTATTATTATTATTATTATTATTATAATTATTTTCTAATAACCTTTTATTGATGACAAAACTAACTATTAAAACCTATTTACAATTAATGTCGCTGAAGAAGAAAAAACTATTTACAAGTCATTTCATTTCATAAGCTCCTGTTCATTTCGATTTTAAAAAAAATTCATTTCAATTGAAAAAAACTCATTTCAAGTAAAAACAATTCATTTCAATTAAAAATGAAATAAAAAGATTAAAAAGATCCTAAAATACTAATAGTGTTTTATAGCGGCAATCATTAATGAAATCCCCTTGTGGAAATTTGTGCCGGGAAGGGTGTCCTGGAACCTCTTACGCATGTGTACCAACCTTAAAATCTCAAAAGAAAGCAATCTTCTAATCCAAGTAATAGTAATGTAATAAGGTTCGTCATTCTTTTCTGAGAGCTTCTCGGCTAGGCGTTTGAGAAAGCAGTTGCAGTCGGCTCCCATCCCACTGTTAGTTCCAAAAACTAGGGGAGTGAAAGATTCCATTTTGATCAATGTCCAGTACCCTCTGTTGGTACTTCCTATTTGTCTCCTCCTCCTGCTCCTTAAAGATTGTGGTTGTTGTTTTGCCCTGGTTACACTTGGACTTAACATGCATTACTCTGACATCAAAAAATGCTGTAACTCCATGAGACCAAAAGTCCCCTGCCCCTATTATTTTCTATTGTTTTAAGCTTTAAACTTACCATTACATTAACTGTTGCTCCACTGTTAATATAATAATTATATTAACCGTGGAGCAAAAATATATTTATTATATTTTTTTTCCTGTAATAATGGTAACCTTTTTCTATCAGTTGTATTCTTCCTTCTGTTGCCCTTTGTGAAAACCTTGCTTTTTGTCAAGGTTAAACTCATTGCCAATAGATGAGCTTGGGAACTGGTGCCTTAAAGGTTGGACGGGAGCCTGAACGCCTCAGGCATAGCAAGGAGGTATCCATGGCAACCCTGCGAGCGGGAACCACCCCTGCATGCAGCCGCCAACTGACACTGTCACACTGAAGAATTCAGTGGAAAATACTCACCTGACCTAATACTTACTAATGCATAGAAGGGGAGGGACGGGCTGGGAGCCAGAATCTGCAACGATTCGCTAAACAACAGATCCGCAAAGATCAGCTCAAAAATGCCAGCGTGAGATGCAACATAAGTCACAAGATAAGCAGAAGGCCCCTGCGGACACCCCTCTGTTCACGTACCCTTGAGGAGGAGACCGCTGACCGCATTGGCTTGCAATTTAACTTTGCCTAAATTACATTTAGCCACATTAATAATTATTATTCTGGGTACCACAAAGCTCTTAGAATGAATCAATGCTGCAAACAATGTTTCTAGAACCAAAGCATGCCTTAAGGTGCATAACAGTGGTGGCATTTAGATTTGACTTTCAAAGTGAAACTGAGTACAGAACAGGAATGTCAGTCCTTCAGTGATAGTGACCATTAGTTTGTTGGTCCATTTCAGAGGAAGTTTATACAGCTGGTCATGTGAAAGCTTGTCTCTGGAAATTGACAGAGATAATGTACTAGGAAGTGCTATGAATCAGATGGGAAGAATACTGGGACATGCACTAAGGAGCAGATCATTGCATGTCACTTTCAAGAATGAGCCAGGTACATGCATGTTTCTTTTGTAACATAATATGCAGCCGGTAAGGATGTTTGATGGAACCCCAACAGCATCAACATACTTGATGAAGCAACTTACAGTAATGTAAATTTGGCTTTATTATTGATGGGCTTTTTGTATAATGCCCACAAGGCCCTGGTTGTTCAAAAGTCGGATAGCGCTATCCACCAGATAAATCAATATCCAGTTGACAAGTATTAGGAAAACGATTGCGTTATTCGCTGGATAGTGATTTATCCAGTGGATAGCATTATGGACCTTTTGAACAACTGCAGGGCCCAGTATTGTAATCTATGTATTTATTAGTGTAATACAGTCAAACCTGTGCAACGGTCACCCTTGGAAAATGGCAACGTGACCGCTATATACAGGGTGACTGCTATATACAGGTCAACTCTACAGAAAATATAAAGGCAACTGAAAATTTTAGGAAGTCGTCTGGTGACCGTAATATACAGGGTGACCGGTACATACAGGGCTGTGATATACATCTACAGGTTAGACTGTATACACTTCTTTCAATCGTTTAGATAACACAAGGACTTAATTTCACACGTCACAATGTCAGCATGTCACCCTCTGTCTTTTGCCATCTGCTGACCACTCTCAGTCACCTACATGTAGTGGAGGTAGTTAGAGCGCTGGACTTGTAGTTCAAAGATCCCAAGTTTAAGTCCGGCTCTGTTCTCGGTAGTCCAAAGCTCAAATCCTCGGCCACGCTTGTAAAATAGCCAACTGGTTCACCTCGTACCAGTTGGGATTTTTAACCATGTTATGTTTCATTTAAATTATTTGTTTCATTATCCCTGTAAAGGGGTGAGAATAATTAAAGTATCGTTTTTCTTATTGTTATTATTACAGTATGTAGGTATTTGACTGTTGTATAACAGTGATACACAAAATACTGCTACAAGTCTATAAACAACAGAGGCATGGTTGTTGTAATGGGTATATTGTACATGTATAACAGTCCCCCTAGTATTTGGTCTTTCCATCTTCTCTTTGCTGTATAATAATTCATGTTTTTGTTGAAGTTGTTATTATTTTTAATTGTGCAATAATTTTATTTTAGGCATCTGTACTGGTCCTAAGAGGGAATTTTTTGCCTCTTTCTGCAAAGACGTCGTTGATCCAAAACGGGGTCTTTTTATTGCCACAGATGATGCTCAGTTCAGGTGACCTAAAGACAGTTTTCTACCCTTGGGCCCGTTTCTCGACATGTCGGTAACTTTTCGGGCCCGGAAAGCCGCTTTATGTTTGCCAGGTTTGCATTCAAGACCAAAGTGGTAAAAATTTTGAAAATGATAAATTGAAACTATCAATTGACAACGAAAATTAACTGGTCTGCGAGCTAGGAACAGTGCTACTACATGTAATCAACAGGTTTTAAATTTAAAATTTGCGTTTGGGCTTGAAAAGTTATCGGGCCTTTCGAGAAACGGGCCCCAGATTAGTTATCTAGTTATACTCAGTCTGTCTCAAATAAATAAATAAATAATAAATAAATAAATAAAAAGAAACTTGCAAGTTAAAAGAGCACCCTCCTGTGACCATACTACTCAGTGCGTCATGTATGTGTCATTTGAATGGTCACACCCCAGTAAATTGTTAGAACCACCTTGTAGAGTATAACAGTACGAGTGGCGGGAAAGCGGTCGTCCTTTTTCTTTCCTCAGAGCCACTCACGGTGAGCGAAAAACTAAAGTCATGCAAATTTGAGGTTAAAAGGAGAAGAGATTGGGGCGGAGATAGGAAACTGGACGTCAATGATGTTTTTCTTTGCTCGGGCTTCCGCCCTCGTTCCTCGCGCTCTTGCCGCTCACCCCTCACGCGCGCTCTCGATCTATTGTGACACCATTGTGACTCTAAATAAAAAATAGAGATTTCTTGAGCGGCGGATCATACAAAAATAATATAACCATGCAAAAGTTCTGCGAAAGTAGGATTTAATTTTAATGGTAGCACCAAAGGATTTCGTCCAGATTTAGAGTGGGATATACATGCAGTCATGTGAAGGTCCGGCTTGCCATACCGCTGTTTTGTAGTGTGTACTGTACAGTCATGTAGAAGTGAATAACAGGGTTAACAGTGATTTATATTCAGTCTCCTTTTCATTAAACAGCCCAGTGCCAAACGCGTACTTTGCTAAACATGTCGATGATACGATGCCTCAAGATTCTACTCAGAGCACTGGACACACATCTGTTTCTGTGGTTAAACAAGAACTACCATCAAATGAACGCACAAATGAACCAGTGATGTCTTCTTTAGGAGGAGAGTATCAACATGGGTCTGCAGAGGATGAATCCATGTGTTTAGAAACTCATGATGAGAATACGGCAGTTAATTCACAGACACAAGATTATCTGGCTAACGGACTCTCGGATGAAGAAATTATATCTTCGCTGTCGCAAACAGAAAGCCCTTCCCCTGTAACAACTAATGGTTACCAAACAACGACTTCAGAGCACGTAGGCATTGATTCAGTGAATGGCAACATTCGCGACAGTCCACACACACTAGGGAATGTAAGTCAAACAATGTTGGAACAGGCTAACATTCCAGGAGAAGAAGAAATCGTGTCAAATGATGCAGGTGACAGTGCTGTTACACACAGCACAGGTGATGAAAATATGGCTCATAATTCACAGCAACCAACATGGATATCTTGTGTGGTAAGTGTAGTTTTGAAACTAACATCTCAGGCATTTCATCATGGTGGCCAACAGGTTTCCTTCTTCTTTCTCGTCAAGTGGTCATTTGAGGAGAAAAAGAAAATCTCCTTGAACAGGAAGAACAAATTTGAAAAATTGAACTCAACATTTCGACGTCGCCATGTTATCATGTACAAAATCTACATTATGCGGGAAAATCTTCCATTGTCCCGTCTTGAAGATCTTTAAAATCAAACAAAAAATAAAAAAAAATAATAAATACGATAACATGCACACATAAATACACGTATTTCAGGTAAAAAAGAAACAAACAAACAAAAAAAGATTTAAGAATTAAGGTGACCCAGTTCTCGGTTGTTTTTGTTGTTGTTTTCTGTTTTATACGCCCTTCGGTCACTGTTTCTTTTTTTTTTCCTCAGGAGAATAGTGGTGATCAGTCTATTATAAACCTGTCTTTGAGGTCCAAACTCAAGCAGCTTCGCTTTATTGGTCGCATGGTCGGATTTGCCGTTTGCCAGGACCTACTTGTTAATTTGCAGTTGTCCAAACCATTCGTCAAGCAGGTTTGATCATTTTATTCTTAGTCTGGATTGTTACACAGAATGGTGTGGTGTAGCCCTATTCAGCTTAGTTTAATGAAACCGAAATATATCAAATTCAATTAACCAATCAGGACTCCAACGCAAGTCACAAGTCCTTTACTCTTGATGTTGCTGGTTTTCTTTCTTTCTTTTTTTTTCCACCTTTGGCACCTGTTACATCTGATCTGTAAGCGCCAACTTTTCTTTCTGTTTTTTTTTCCTTTATCTTTTTGGAATGGGTCAGTTGTTTTGCCGATCGAAAACTGTGGAAAACAACAACTCAACTTCAAACTTGAACATTACTAGTGATTAGTGCCTACGGGAACTGCCGAAACTCGGTTTTGTTAATAATTATTATCCGCCAATTTTTAAAGGTAATTAAACGGAGCATGTTTTGTGCAGCGCTTTTTCGTAAGAGGCCCTATGCCGCGAAAATACTGCGTCGTAAATGACTTTTTATTATCCATTTTAGGTACTTGGAATTCCACTTTCTCACCCAGACGACTTGAGTTCATTTGACTATGAGCTTCACAGAAATGCAGTTGTATGGTTACGAGAGAACAGCGTTACGGATCTGGATTTACCCTTCAGTATTGATGTAATGAATCCTTGGAATTCAAAACCGGTCACAATTGAGTTGAGCGATGACCCCGAAAAGAAATTACTCGATGACAATAAGGTAGGTGTAGTAAAAATTATCTGAAACACGACGGCGAGTGTTTCCTGAGGTTTTCAACGAAGTGTGCTGAAAAAATGTACAACAGCCTATGTCATTTAAAACCGTTTGACGCATTTTGCCACTGTTTAAAGTTTCTGTTACAGTTTAACCCCTAAGTGTTTGTTAAAATGTTGTTAGATTTTGTGGTTGTTAATAATTGTTACTAAATAAATTATTTTATGGCACATTGCTATTGGTCGGTTAGTTCATGATGAAAGGAATGCTAATGAACGTTGTCCACAAAAACATAAATTCCTAGTCAAACAAGTATGCATAACAATTCAGTGCAATTTGAGAAATTAATATGCGCTTACTGTAAGAAGTGTGTGGACAACTTTTCAACTTTGTGCGGAGTATGCGTTTTATATGACGATCTAAGAAATTAATATGCGCTTACTGTAAGAAGTGTATGGACAGCTTTTCAACTTTGTGCGGAGCGTTTCATATGACGACTTGTCGGCCATAATTTATGTTCTGCAAATGGGACGAAATGAGTTAAAGTACGGCTGTCAAAACCATGCTTTTTTTCCTCGAATATATCTTTCAATTCTTCATAAATATAGCTCTACCGGCTTCAAACATCGTCGACCGGCAAAATTTCATGGGCAAAAGTGTTAAAGATGATTAATTTAACGAGGGTGTTCAATATTAGTCGTTGCGTTATAGATAACGCGTATACCTTCCACGTCGGTAGGCCCACGTTCGACTCTCGCCGATAGAAACTTTTTTTTCCCTTTTTTTTTGGGTCCTTTTGTTTTTGTTTTCTGTTATTTTCGCAAACATATTTTCATTTTTTTTGACAGACTTAAAATATACCGGTAGACTTATTGTAGGTTCATTATTAGATTTGATTTCTAAAATACACTAATTAATAACCCACAAGTTAGCCTTAGGCACCCTTTGATATAATAAAACTTTCGTCCTGTGTTTAGGAACAGTACAGTAAACTTGTGTCTCAGTTAAAGTTGGAGACTTTGATAAAGGATGAAGTAGCTGAGTTTTCTGGAGGACTCAACGAGGTTTGTTGTAAAATTACTGTCACATTACTACTGAAATAACATGGTATAACTGAACTCAGATTGAAGCATATTACCTTTGGTGATCATCTCATTAATTCTCAAAACCTTTTCTTTTGATAATTAATTGGCCTTGTTAGGAAAAAATTGAAGTTTAACATTCTTGGACTAAGACCCTGTATACATGGAGTGGGGGACCCCGGTCTAGTGGGGTAGTTTTCTTTTGTTTTGAGTCCCTCAGAGCGTTAAAACAAAAGAAACCAACCCCACTAGACCGGGGTTCCCCCCTCCATGTAAACAGGCCCTTAATAGGGTTAAGGCTGTTGTTGTTTTTTTCGTTTCAATATTCACAGTGCGGCGTTTGTTTTTTAGATGTTCGATTGATTGTTTCTAGGTTATTCCTCGTGCATTCCTATCGTTGTTTACTGCTGACGAGTTTTCTCTGCTGATTGGCGGCGTAACAAAGATTGACGTTGAAGACTGGAAGAAAAACACCAAGGTACGGAAACTTATCTCGAGTGTCGCCAAGTCCCCTTGAAATTTTATGATTTTTATATTCACCATTTTCACATAGTCCATAATGCACCTTGTTTAACCATTGTCTTGGATTTCTCTTGGGACGACTGTAGTACCGTGAAATCGAAAAGAAGAGAAGAAAGAAAAGAGAAGAAGAGAAAATGGAAACAATGGTTATGCAAAATTCTTGGGGGTAAACAAGGTGCATTATGGTCTATGTGAAAGTGGTGAATTGATGTTGATTTAAGCAATAGACCACACTTTCTATGGGTTTACCGGCGTGATAACCCACTTGGGATGTTGGGAGAACACGAGAAAAGGTTGTAAATCACGAGCCGAAGGCGACTTATTTACAAGCTTTTCGAGTGTTCTCCCAACATCCCAAGTGGCTTATCACGCCGGTAAACCCATAGAAAGTGTGGTTTATTGCTTTGATAAAATAACTTTAAGTTTTCAATGAGTTTACTGGCACAATAAACTATAGGTGTTTAACCAATCAGACCGCGCGAACTGTCGTTGTTATTTTATAAATTATAATGTCCACATGGCTTAGTTTCAATTATTTGAGGCTTTGAGGCAGTAGGCGGCTAGACCAGCCAAAGCCTAGTCTGATCCAAATAGTTAGCTATTACCATCAAAATGTTTCAGTCACAAATCATTCGTATATGTTTAACAGCATGTTCTTTTTTATTTATTATTTTTAATTGAAATTGTTTTTATGATTGTTGTTACTATCATTTTGTTTTCTTTTTTCCAGTACACTGGATGTACACAGGAAGACAATGAAATTGTATGGTTTTGGAAAGTAGTTTCGCAGTTAAAGGAGGAAGAGAAAGCTTTGCTGATGAAATTCTCTACTGGGACCCCCTGCGTTCCTATTGGTGGATTTGCTGCTCTTACGGTAAATACGTAATAAAGCGCAGTCTCATCCAAAGTGCTTTTCGCTAGGTGGCTGTTATTTTTGGAGGATATATTGTGTAAAGTCTACATTGCTGAAGAAGAACTTGATCAGTTTCGTCAATGCGCGAAAGCTTCCGTTAATTGTATAAATTTAGTGCGATGTCTATGGATTCCGTTTGATACCTTGATACTCAATGGTGAATCGAGACGTTCCATTTATAACAACCTTTGTAATAATCAGTGCGATCGACTTTAATTTAAATTTTTCTTTTTTACAACTGTGTTGTAGAAAGAACTGATATCCTTAACGCTGGCCGTTGGTCAAAGCGTTATGTAGTCTTTCGCTTGTAAACCCACAAGTCGAGCTACGAAAACCCAACGAGAGTGAAAAACGTGAAAACCGAGCGCGAAGTTAGGGTCAAAACTTTGAGTGCGACGCTCGAGGAACGCAGGTTGACATAAGGCACGACCTTCGCGCAGGAGCAATCTGCAAACGCGAAGGACTTCGAGTATTCCTATGAGACGTGCAAACTAAGTAGTTTAGGTGAACGGCTTGTTTTAAATCGCACCCAAAGGTCGTCGCAAGAAGGACGCGTCAGGCATATTTTAGCCCAGGCATATTTTAGCCCAGGCAATGCTCTACTCCTTTAGCCGCGTGGGTTTCGTTTCAGGCCGGACGCCGGACGCAAAGTCCGGTTGTTTGACATGGAACGTCTGGTAGTTCACACACGATATAATTATTTTTTTAAGTGTGAAAATCGTTTTTTTTTTTTCATTTATTAACCAAAGAAAGACTTGACCCTTATTTTACTCACTTAGTTATGTAACGCCAAAAAAAAAAGACATAATTCCTGTCATAATTTCGGTCCAGGGAACGCAGGAAGTTGCATTTCAGAGAGTCCAATTTACAATTTCCCGGGGGGGGGGGGGCATGCCCCCGGACCCTCCCTAGGAGTTCGTGCCTTCGGCACTCAACGTTCGTGCCAGTGCTAACGGTGCACGTCCGCCAGCTGAACCACTGCTTCCGCTACTTCCAAATGCTACCGAAAACCCTGTCAGTCAAGTTCTTAGTGAATGAGAAAATAAAAATAGGGAGTTGCATGGCAGCCTGACTTGTTTTTTTCTGACATCTAATCTTATCCTCAGGGCCTTGGAGGAGCTACGAAATTCACCATCATGAAAATAGGAGGAGAACTCAATAAGGTAAACGAGGCACAATTCAATGTTATTATTTTTGGCGAGAAATATTGGCATGGTGAATTACTTATCATGAGAAATAGCTTTTGATTTTCACAACAAATTCAGACAAACAAATCAAACAACAAAATAGCAACAAAATCAACAAGAACAAATGATCAGTGTGTTTATTTTTACTGTCTTCTTTCTGTCCTTTTTATGTACAGATCCCGATGGCGTCCACTTGTTTTAACATGCTAAAACTGACAAGTTACAGCTCAGAGAAACACTTAAAGGACAAACTGTTAATAGCTATTCGGCATGGAGCGGAGGGATTCTCGTTTTCATGAGGGAGTTAGAGTATCGCGGTTCTGTCTTTATATATTGCCGACATTTCACTGACTGAACGCAGTAAGAGAGAAGAGGTCTTGCAGTTATCGCACGCTACTGGTTGTATTCGCTACATATTACTGCTGCTACGTTCCTGTGATTATCAGCTTGGATTGAGCTACAAATGACCAATTTGAGGAAAGTTTAAAGGAACTGCTTTGCAAAAGAACAATAATTCTAGGATTATCAGTTGTTTTACGTACACTGTTTTTTCAGGAACTGATGAACTAACGTTTCCGTTTACATCTACCACTGATTTCATCCTACCCAAATGCTTTTAGGACATGCTTTCTGGAAGAAGAGTGATTGTTTTATAATGAAGGATAACACCATGATCGCATTTCACTACGTGGAGGGATCCTCGTGGGACAGCATTTCAATAGAGCGTTACATTGCATTGATTATGTGAACTAAATCAGTTTAAAAAAATGGGTTGTTTGTTTCAAAAGCTACACATTTTGCTGCTGATTTGAGGAAAGGACCTGTTAAGGATTAACATGAGACTATGGGACTTTTATTTTAATGTTATTTCAGTAAGGAAAGGGTGAGGGGGTTGTTGCGAATAAATTAGAAAATGGGATTATGAAGACTTCAAGCGTGCGATGTAAAATTTAGAGGTGCTTTATTTTGGGGGGAGTAAGAGTGGCCCGCCCAGTGGTGAGAGCATTCGCCTCTCACCAATGTAGCCCGGGTTCTAATCCTGGCGTTGACGCGAGAGGTTTTTCTCTGGGTACTCCGGTTTTCCCATCTCCTCGAAAAACAACATTTCTAAAATTCCAATTCGACTAGAAATGCTAGACGAAGAACCGCTACGTGAATATCCTACCTCTAAAGAATTATTTATTTATTTCATAGTATTTATTTAGTTATTCTACAGGCTAGTTGTGTCTTGTGACCCAAGTGGAACAGAATTAAAATCTCCAACGGGCAGGAGGCAACCGACTGACAATTTACGAGCGCGGCCGCCTTCAAAAAAATCCATCTAGTGGTCGGCGCACGACTCGAACAAGGAATATCGAAACATGTTATCGCGGAAGGTTTATTTCTATTCAACTTTGCTCCCCCAAATTTTCTAGAATCTTCAGCTGAATGGCTCTCATTTCGTAAATTCAGCATTTTTCGGATTTTCTGAGAACTTTCCCGTGAAATTTCCGTGCCATTTGTCTTTGTTTCCAAATTTTCGGCACTTTTGGTCAAATGGAAGACGCCCCACATAACCAAGCAACTACAGATATTCAATATCGTAAGCCGTCTCGTTGGAGAGTGCTTTGTAGCTGTGAGCATAGAATGTTTCTCTATATTTTGAGTGAACCTTTGCTCAAATACCGGAGAATGGATGTGTACATCTGGACCGGGGGGCTGCCTGTGATTCAGTAACAGAACCTCAAACTTGGTGTATCTGTGGTATCAAAGAATGGACGAACTCGTTCCATTTTTTGCCGAGCCCATTCTTTCCTCAGTTAATCGGTCCCGAGGATTATCCGTGATCTTTCATTTGGTCACCGTATTTTCATTAATCATATTAGAGATAAATTACCGTCAATCACTTGTTGCTTTTTTGGCTTATAAGCTTAGGTTACCTGTGCAAAGATCAAACGTTTTGTGGTGCACCCTGAGTTTAAATATCCAAGATTGATATATTTTTGGACTATTTCCTTTAAAACAAAAACAAAAACCGACCAAATTGAATTTAAAATGAGTTTGGAGCCATCTTGTTCCTTTTAAAAACGGGTTTTCGTATTTCCACCTCGCTTTTATTTTTCAGATTAAAGGTTCGTGTAATTTCGCTTGCGCTCTCGTAACTGTCTTCTGTATTGGCTTCCTTTATTGGCAGATAACAAAAGTCTTTGTATTGGCTGTGCTGCTAAAACTATACAAAACAACTTTTTCCTTTTATTGTAAATTATTTTACGAATTTTTGAGAAATGTCTCGAATAAAACGAGATTGTATTGTCCAATTAATTTCGGCTTTTGCCAGAGTTTGGATCAACTATCGATGGAAACTGACTTGGAAGTTGAAGATTTCGAGGTCGAAATTTAAGTATCTCTTAATCTTGATGCGATAAAAACTCTCGAAAAGCTTTTAAAAGCTCATGCAAATTGCAGCCCAGTTTCCTTTAATAGTGACACATTTGGATAGAAAAGTTTTCTTTACGTCTATCATTAATAAAGAACAGTCATTTTCATTCGCAATAAACGTCGAAGTTCAGAGAAGAAAATTTTTTAAAATATATTTCGAAGAATCGGCGGCTCGAACTGTGTTTTTGTACACCGCCAAAGGACATCATTATACAACCAGAAAGAAGATAAAATTGAATAAGCATCGAGAAAAACCGACTTTTGAAATATCTAATGAAGTAAGTGTTTTTTGAGTTTTATTGCTCGTGTTCAGTCAGGCGAGATATTTTCAACTGTTATGCTAAACAGGTGTGATGTAACCCTTGCTAGAGCTTTTGTTATAAATTGAAAAAGCAAAATATCTGAATACGTAGGCATGCTTCTCACATTCACCCGCTCGAAATTTTCCGGTTTGGCAAAAATGGCGACGGGAAGAAAACATTTCGCGTATAAGTTCGTCAGTACGTTCTTCAGTACAGAGCGCCTTTTATCGGATTAACGCGGAAAGAATACAGGTTTTCAGTTACTAAAGCCATAACTAAAAGAAAAACCCAGTGTTAAAAGCTAGAAAATCAATCAGTATTATTGGTTTAAAAAGGCGTGAGATTGTCTATGTGATTATTTTTTCTTGGTTTGTATTTTATAGGCACGAGCGAGGGTTTTATTTGTCGTTGAAGAATTGTTGCAACTCGCTGACCAGAGGATAACTTCTGAAGATGATTTTTCCGTGAAGTATTGATTGAGTCCATCTTGAGATGATCGCTGTTTTTATTTTGTGCGTATTTTTAAGCACGAACAGCGTCGTCGAAGGGCAAACAACTTCCAGTTCAGCAACCAAACAATTTAAAGGTAAAGTCTTGTTATTTAATACTTGATAGTTTATTTTTTGTCTTCGGTCGCAACTTTTAAAGATGGAGCGCATTGTAAACTCTTAACACCGTTAAAGTTTGTATTGTGTGTGTATTATTTCAGGACATAAAAAGATTTGAATATTCAACTTTCTGTTCCAAATAGCGATCTCAAAAATAACTTTTATTATTTCCAAGCTGTTAAAACTCACTTCATTTGGAAAGGGAGCGCCAACTTTGTTTGCGAAAGGCGAGTCAAGCATCTTTCAACAACGATATTTTGTTGCCACAAAACGTGAAGAAAAACATAAAATATGTTTATAATTGACGTATGTTTGGTTCCCGTGAAAGAAACTTTTTCCGCAATTTTTAATGTTCGCCTGTCGGTTTGGACATGACCTCCGGTTGTTGTTAATTAAACACTTAAAATTGCTTGGCAATTTCGAATGGTTTGATCTCATGCGGAACAATGCAAATTTTCAGCTTTTGTCTGGAATGGTCTAGGGTCATATAAAACACAATGAGGTTGTGAACAACAGGAAAATATTGCCCTAGAAAACCTTTAATGAAACCCCAAAATTTGCGCGTAATGAACCGGGTAGGTACAAAAAAATTACAAAAAAAGCTGTCATGACTTGATGCCGTCGAGTCTATAAAAAGTAAAGAAAAAATGATTTTCTTTTCATGTTCAATTAAAATCACAGATAGCTATTAAAAAATACCTGTAAATTCTAGATAATTGATCTGGTGTTTATTTAAATGGTCAAAAAGGGGGGAAAAGGGGGTGTTTAGGGATGTGAAAATGAATTTGTCAAAAGTGAATATTTTTGTTAATAAATTTAGTCCCCATAATTTTGTTATAATCTGATAACATCAGTCGGTTTTATCGGAAGGATAAGGACAGTCAACTATAAGCCTACCTAGGTGTATAACACAGGTTATTTTTGAAACGAATTACTTCAACTAACCAATAAGGAAGCTTTTTAAAGCATTAATTCTTATCTGATCTCTAAAAGTGTCCATGTAGTGCTAAGTACTGTTTTATAAAATCTGAGCACCACAAGAAATTTAATGTTTCAATATGTAAAATATACAGTATGTGCTGACAGGAACGAGGTCGATTGTTGATATGTTTGGAGGTAACGATATTTTTTTAATAAGGTTCGATTCCCTGTCATGGCTTAATTTTTCTTTGTTATTTTACTAAACATATTCAAGTTACTTTTTATTAAAATGATCTTTCACTTATTCAACACCTGTACGCAAATTATATTTTCAGCTTTTAATTTATTTTGTATTTGTTCCTCACAAATAATATTCGCGGACTCTTATTGTTTGTAAATTCGACGCACACTGATTGAGTTGCTTGCGAATACAAACGATGAAATACGTTTTTGATCCAGGTACAACAAAGCTCAAAACTAACAATTTTTAACTTCGCACCATTCATAACATCTCTGATGTTTAATCATGAATTTTTTAGCTTCATATAATTATATCTTGTTACTCTATTTTTTATCATTATTTTCATAAAATTTATTTTGTGTATCCGCGAAGAAAATTGTCTTCCGTTTAATGCCTCGTTCCACCAACTTTCACGAATTTGGATGTTACTTAACATTCGCACTTTAAAGCTTATTTTTCAGACTCTGAGCTACCGAAATTCTGTTTTAAAATTCAATGTAACATGCGGTTTTTTTCCCATTTTGGAATAAAAACGTGTACTGCCCGTGGACGTCCTTGAAGATATATATAATTATATTTTTTTTATCATGTTTTGGATCATTACTCAGTTCTAAATTCGTTTTGCCACTTTTGGTTCAGACGAATAGGCCACGAAAATTTTCCGTTGAATGACTTTGGTTTAATAAATTTTTTGAGTTTACGAAGATACATGGAATGTTTTTTTTGTTATTTTTTTTAGGTTAGAAGAAAACAAAAACTGATTATTTTAGCCCGCGAAGCCACAGATTTCACCTGAAATATGGACAAATCTTAATAGCATTCTTCTTTCCTATTTTGAACAATCAATCGAGACAGAACGGTGCCTGATCTTAGATCTTAAGAACCATGAAAACTTGGCAATTTTTTTTCCGTCATGGATTCGGAGTTACAAATATACAGAAGATTATTTGACATTTTAATATCGATAAAAATATGTCTTGCATAAAGGCGTTGTCGATATCCTCTACTAGCAAATGGCGATGTTTATGAGTTGCTTAGGATACCATCGAGGGAGTTTTGAATCGCCCGAAGTACAGGGGCCAGTTTCTTTAAGAAAAAGAGAAGTTACGTAGCTTAGAAGGAAAAGAATTATATTTTGTTTCACTGTAAGATCTAACTTAAGATGGTCACGCTGGAGATGGTTCACGTTCACTAAAACCAAATTTCTGTGGCCTCGGTGACCTCACTGCTATTTGTTACACAGGGGAGTCGCTCTGAAAGGCTGTAACTTCAACAGCGTGAGATGTTTAATGATGCACACTATTGTGTTCATAAAGACGCTTAACATTCGCTAATCTTGGCCCTTGATGCTCATGGATTTAACACCAATTTTTCAGTTTAACCTGGTGCCGAAGAAACTGGTACTCTCATCCCATCTCTAGCAATCTTTCAAAACTCTTGTCCAATCTCAATTATTTTAACTGATATTTTCCCTTTTTCTACATTTCTTGTAGTTCCTCAGGCCGCGATCATTTTCCTGGCATTTCTTGGAGCATGTCTTGTATTCGTATTTATCTTATACAAGATCCTTCACTCTAACATTTGCAAGGTAGACCACGAGAAATTGGGCGGAAAGAAAGGAGTGGGCTATGTTGAACTGGGTCAATCCCCTTCTTTGGGCGAGGATGTCATGGAAGAAACGGACAGTGTGGACTTTATGGAACAGGAAACCACGTTGAGTGATAGATCCAGAGACAGTGATGCGGATTGGCATAAGCCACTCCAAGCTAAAAGCAGAAGTATGGGGGATCTGTTTTCGGACAAGTCGCCGAAAATACCTGCTCGGAGAAAGCTTACCGCGTGGGAACGACCTTCGATCGAGGCCGTCAAGGCAGCAAGTCATCTTAACGTACTCACTGCATATGGTGATGCGGCTAGTACTCAACGTACTGCCCGGAGATCTCGACCATCTAGGGGGGAAATTAATTGTATTGCAAAGCTCCAGGTTTCTGTCGGGTATTCTCAGACCTCCAATCGCTTGGAGGTGACAATTATTCGCGTACAAGACTTTCCAGAGTCGATCGCCCTGAATAGCACTACGTCATCAATGTCCGTGCATCTCACACTGATGCCCTCCAAACGATTTCGGTTTAAAACGAAAACGAAGGCCACCGCTGATGTGACGATCAATGAAACTTTTGTAATGCGCGGGGTAACGGAAAGTGAACTTATGGATAGCACATTTCGTTTTCGCATCTACTCACAGGGATCCATGAAAAAAGGGAGGCTACTAGGTGAAACAGAAACAAACGTAACTGATTTTGATCTTGACGACATCGTATCAACAATGTGGATCATGGTACCCCCTGCCGATGAACAGAAAAAACCCACTCCGAGCAAACCGAGACCTCCGCAGCGCAAATGACATGAACTGTGAATGATCTTAATCATGTTTTACAATTAGAGAGATTTAAAGGATAGTTTGACTATCTTTTGCTCTATGAAAAGAAATTACACTGAAAGGCAACGTTGAAATCCCTTTCGGTCATGGAGTCAATTTATGGAAAATGTCAAGTGGTTTGAACTTTTCAGCCTGTGGATTGGAGCCGGTCATGAAGCCGTTCAAATGAAACCTCTTTTGTCATATAATTTCACATGGTGCCATTTGTTTTTCAATATTATACAAATGGAATATGCATTTTTCGTAACATTTTAATCAGTAGGCGAGTCTAACAGACTCGAATGTTAGGAACTCCTTGTATAGCACCAAAATTAAAACAGCACCAAAGTGAAGTGTCGCTTTCAGTTGAAAAGGCTGAAGTTGACAATTTGAAAAATTGTGAATTAAATATTGAGGGCTGCAGTGTTTTGTCTCAGTGTTTTGAATTGAATGCACCATAGTTGTTATTTTTTAGTTTGAATGTTTGTTCACATGGTGAGCCCTTTTTTGAACTCAATACTCCATGGTAGAACAGTGAACCTACATGTGAACTCTAAAACTGCTGGCAAATAAAAAGTAAATCAATGAATTAAAAAAAGGGGCGGGGTGGCTGGGGCATGAATCATGAAGTGGCAAACGTTTAATAATTGAAGTGATATGTAGTCTGTTTGTTCTAGTTACTCAGTATTTGTTACTGTCAAGCCGAATCTCTCTTTTTACAGACCGATAATTTAAGCTTCTCTGTCCCCAAATGGTCAAAGAATAAATTCCAAGGTAATGATATTGTACCAAGCGGCGGGGTTAGCAATAACGGTTAGTTGTTTTGTTGAATCGGTGGAACAACATCTTGACTTGTTTTTATCGACGAATATTTTGCATCAGCGGGCGAAGTTTCCTGGCTCCAGAGGTCCGTTCTAAAAATGCCTGGTATGAAATAACCTCTGTTACACTACGGCATGAGAAATTACTGCAATTTGATTGGCTTAGAGCAGTGGTATTTCAGCCTAAATTGAAATACCTACATGTGAAAATTACAAACCTTTTGTGGGTAGTAGTATAAACAAATAATAGCATGATTTGTACGTGATATTTGGCATAAATACCACTTGTGATATTTCAAAATTGTCTCAAATTTCAGTCGCCTAACGGCTCGTGAAATTACGAATAACAATTTCGAAATATCACTCGTGGTATTTATGCCAAATATCGTCAAAAATCATGCTATTACCTACACAAACCCAGGGTACGGGCGAAGTTGCGACGGTAATAACAATTTTAGTAGCAAACTCTTTTCTGTTCAATGTACCTTCTTTCCCTTATGTTGGGTCCCATATATTAAGTTCATTTGTAACAGCATTGTAAATACTCGATTAAACGCCGTCCTTGAATATATACCCCAGATGAAAGAAACATTACCAAACAACGCCGCATCCAATCTGAAGCATGCGGCGTTCATTCAAAGATTAAATAAGCAAAAAAATAACATCAACAAATGACACGTACTGAACAGCTCGGTTTATGGCCATCACTTTCCTCAAAGAAAAGCGAAGCAGTAAAGCTGCCTTTTTTTGCTGTGGTAGTTACGTAATATTTTCAAGTGATCAGTCAGTGATTTAAGAAATGATTTTGAAATGAACATGGCCCTTAAACCCTTAAATAAAACGGTGAAAATTTAATAAACTGCTCGGTGTTCGATCGAGTAAAAATGGTATGGTTACTCGTTTTAATCCAAGACTGCTCATTCACCCTCCCCCAATAGACAGTTGTCTAGGAAAATGTTTGCCTAGTAATTTTGCCTAGTCCGGCGTTTTCTCAGGCCTTCTCGGTCAATCTGCTTCGGTGACGTATCCGAGGTGAAAGGGCGGTAAATGCTTACATCTTCGCTAGCACCACGTGACCCGAAACGCTTTGGTCGCGCGGAATAATGAGGCCTAGGGACTAGGCGAGGAAAATGTCTCATTGGGTTCCTCTGTTGAAATACTTTTGTTTAACCACATACCGGTGGCACTCATGCACCAGTCGTTTGTTTTCTTCTTCATTGCTTTGCCGTCAGCTTACCGTTATATTGCGCATGCAAGCTAGTTGTACTATCTTTATTTGAGGTGGCATTTATACAAAGGTTACAAGTTAAACCTTAGTGTTCTGTACTTAGCACAAATTGCATGTTTCCATACCCCAATTAATTGCAATAACTGCGAGTACAAGTAATTTTTAATTTTTGTTTGACAACGTTGAAAATGCTACTGAAATAAAATAGACATCACACATACAGAATACGTGATCTAAGCTTGCAAATATACACAGGTAATTCTTGTAATTGGAAAGCATTAAGTATGTACTCTCTCTCTCTCTCTGATTTTAAACTACATACTATGGCAAAAAAAAGGCACGTCATAGATCAGCTTTATTTTTCCGAGGCTTTGCTTATCGGTAATTATATCTATATATATATTATATGTTTTTTTTCAAATAAACATGCCTTTGAGGAAATTATTAACCATTTTCGTAGAAAATACTTGTTGATTTTGTAGCCTTTATACTACTTTGTATAATACTTTATTACTGCAGTTTAGTTTAAGTTTCCATCCTTTAGTAGTGCAAACAAGGAACTTTACCGGCGGCACTAAAAAAACAACACGATAATCTAATACTAGTGTTAATTCATGGCAAAAAAAGTGCTAAAACCTCTTCTCTCTTGTACTTTCGACCTGAAAAGTCATGAAATAATATTATCTACTGTATCTAGGATACCCTTAGCAACTGAGAAACGTAATTACAAGATTTTAAAATAGGTAAATAGCTGTAGTCTGTCGAGGAGATGGCTTTGTAGAATTTCTGTATTTTAGTTATTTTTGCTCATTTTTGTCAATAACGAGCTGTAGACTTCAAATGAAATTACAAAAAGATGTCCTCTATCAAATGAATGCCGCATGGCATTATACACAATTTTACACAACTTTAGATAAACTCGGAAAACGTCAGACCTTTTTCAATCTGTCCATCCAAGTATTTCTTCAGTCTACAGTTTTGAGCGGTTTTAACTCTACGACGAGTTGGAAATTGCTGAAATTGTATAAAATTAAGTGAGCACGCCCCTTTAATTTGTAATGTTTTCGGGTAAAAATAAATACGACCGAGGTGGACTACAAGTCGCCCCTCGTTTTTCTTGGACTGCCAAGCGAAAACGCGGGCAAATCCATGGCCGCTCCGGCACGACTGGGGACGAGACGCACAAAACGTTCTTACTTTTTATTCTTGTGCTTTACGCTCTTGTTTCTCTTGTTTACTGTACCCAATGTAGAAAGAGTGTTTATGAGGATCAATATACAACTTTGAAGAAAAATTAGTGACTGCTCGTAGTCTACGACCGGAGACACCTGGTAAAGAACCCTTAGTAAAAAAACCATCTCCCTTAAGTCATGATACATTAACCACTTTCGAATCCCCCTTAATAAACTCTTTTTACCATTCCCCACCCCCACCCCCAAATTTTGCCAGGGAGCTTAAGACCCGACGACGGCGGAGGCTACGAAAACGTCTCTTAAATAGTGAATGCTGGCTATTGTAAACTTTATGACGCTCATTCCATCTCCTTTAATTCGTCAAATGTTGGCAAATTTTTGTGGAGTTGAATTCTAAAGGACTGTATCAAAGTTCATGAAAAGAAAAAGAAAGTTGTTGTCTTCTGTTCCCGTCCTCGACAAAACGTGAAATTAGGCACTTTCACGTTGTAGTCGTGCAACGACGGCAAAGAAAGGTACAAAAAAGCGTGCAAAGTTGCTGTTTTGCTAATCTAAACCTTTTTGCTTTTTTGCCATTCTCGTTGCCGTCGCCGTCGTCAGATCTTAAGCTCCACATTAGCAATAGTGGGGAGGGGGAGTAATCAGAGTACGTTATGGGGATTCGCAAAAAAGAACGAAACTGTGTGTGTGGTTCACACTGAATCTCGTGCCAAGCTCGTAGCTTAATCAGGTGAGGGCATGCATTTAAGCCGTTCAAAGGCAGCAGCTTCCAAAGCTTCTCTGTGATCAGGATGGGCGATTCGTATCAGTTCATGAGCTCGCTGACGAATGTTCTTGCCGAACAAGTAGGCAATCCCATACTCAGTCACGATGTAATGCACATGAGCACGAGTAGTTACTACACCACCACCTAACAGAAGAAGATCATAAGGGTTGTTAACCCGCTGCACCAAACATATCTTTGAAATAAAAATAAAAATAAGTAACTAAATTAAATTGCTTGATAGAAAACAGTGTGAGTTCGACATGTTTATTTTCAAAGTACAACTCAACGTCGGCCCCCTTTCCTAAGTCCAGCACTTAGGCTCCGTGTATTGGTGAAAACATGTCGCCCAGGTAGAGGGGTGACTCGCCTGCACGAGCTCCCCTGGGCGAGCGAGCCAACTTTTCCAACATTTCCTTACAAGACTTGGCCAACCGTTTACTTGAGAAGCACAAAGTTGGCTCGGCTAGTAGAAAGGTGACCGTCTTTGCCGGGTCACCCTTTTTTCACTGATAGGATCACACTGGTTGTCAGGCTAACTTTTCTCCATATACAGCTATGTTTCGAGAAAGGTTGTCGGATAAAGTGCACGCGACAACCTCGAAAGGTACTGTGGGTGGTTTTGAGTTCACTGTTTTTCCAAAGAAATTTGAAAGAATGGCAGGAGAGGCAGTGTACATATGTCTGCGAGTGCTAAAGGAAAGCAACAAAAGTAGGTTCGACAACTACAGTGTCAGGAACAGTGTATTGAACATATCCCATATTGCCTTTCGGGATTGTCGCGTGCACATTTTTCCGACAACCTTTCTAGAAATAGTTGTAAGCACTTTGGCTCGATCAGGCGGGCCAACTCGGCCAAGGCGAGACAATCAGAGCATGCGCGAGTGCTGTTCACAGCTTCACCTTTTTTTCTCATATAAACGCTCGCGAAAGCGAAAACTTTTCCCCACATAAACAAAAACGCGAGGCCTTAAACTGAGGTACAGAAATTTAGCGGAGTATCAATTGTCTGTTGTAAATTTCCACACATTTCGGTTCAGACTGAGACTACAACAAGCGTTAGTATACCTTGTTTTAAGAAAGGTACAATCTTCGACTCTCCTCTTTTGGTGACAGAATTGAGCGCTAAGATTGGTTTTCCCAGACCATCTGAACCAAGTGCAGCACCTCGTAAAAAGTCCACCTGACCTCCAACACCTGTTCATAAAGAAAAGAAGAAAAGAAAAAACAAAGTAAAGAAAGTTCATAAACTATATCAGGGTATGATGGCCAAAGTAAACTGATGAGATATTGAAGTGATAAGAAGGCTCGGATAATTTCAAACGAAACTGTGTTAATGCATGTTTTGTGTTGTTATCAGTGGAATCCATAGCGTGAACAGGGCAACCTACGTAATGAGATTCAAAGGCTAAATTTTTAAGCGCCAGCTCTTCGTCAGAGACACATGACATGTTGTGACCATTCAACTGAAACTCCTTGTCGTGAGAATTGAGCTTTCATGTGACAGGAGGTGTTAAAGCTTGCAAACTGTTCCAAGGTGGGCGTAATAAAAATTTAGGATCTTGAACAGGACGCCTCTTTGGACCGGAAGCCTTTAAAAGAGTGTAAAGGTTGCCCAAAAAAGATATACATTTGCGGTACCAAAAATGTTTTCTCCAAAAAATCTCATTCCAAGATGTCAGCGTTTTTAAAAAAGATACTTAATTCTGTATGCGAAAAGAAATAAATCAGGGTCATAGGATAAAGTCTCTCGTCTGAAACAGGGTTTTCAAGTGAAATGAAGGATTTTTGTCTTACACAGGGTCAGGAACTGAAGGCCTCATCGGCACGATTCAACTAGAATTTCCCTTAAGATACAGGGTAGACACACCTGAATAGAGTCTTGTTCCAATGGAGTCCGAGACAACTTGTCCAGTAAGGTCCACTTCAATGCATGAATTTATTGCCGTGACCTTGGGGTTCTGACTGATTATTGACACTAAGTTCACAAAGCCAACATCCAACATAACTAAAAAAAATAAAGATCGATTTTTATTTTATTATTATTATTATTATTATTATTATTATTCGATCCTCGGGGTCTGGAAGCAATTTTAGCGAATCGGCTTATTCCCTCGACAAGGGGAAGGAGCGGTGCGACCGATTGAGTAGGCGAAGTGTTAAGGAGGATTATTGGAAAGTGTGTCACGAAGGTCACCAAACCGGATGTTATAGATGCGAGTGGCTCTTTACAAGTGTGCGCTGGTCATAAGAGTGGGGAGCAGGCGGCCATTCACGCAATGCGGGAACTTTTGAACATGACAACAGCGACGCCGTTCTGCTTATAGACGCGTCGAACGCCTTTCAACTCCTTGAACAGAGCCGCCGCCCTGCATAATATTAGAGTGTTATGCCCATCAATAGCAACCTACGCAATAAATACTTACAGGGAGCCCGCACGCCTCTTCATTGTTGGCGGACGGGAACTGAGATCATCCGAAGGCACTACACAGGGCGACCCACTTGCCATGAGCCTATACGCCATCAGCCTTCAGCCTCTCATAACGCGACTACAAGTCAAGAGCGCAGCTAGCCAATGTTGGTATGCGGATGACGCAGCTAGATACAGGGTAGACACACCTGAATAGTCTTGTTCCAATGGAGTCCGAGACAACTTGTCCAGTAAGGTCCACTTCAATGCATGAATTTATTGCCGTGACCTTGGGGTTCTGACTGATTATTGACACTAAGTTCACAAAGCCAACATCCAACATAACTAAAAAAAATAAAGATCGATTTTTATTTTATTATTATTATTATTATTATTATTATTATTATTATTATTATTATTATTATTATTATTATTATCATTCTTGTTTTTTTTTGCTCCAAGAATATCTCTTTCATCCCAACCCCGACCTCTGGAAGGAGGTTTTTCTGAGTTCCATCACCAGCTGTTAACAGAATTTACGTACGTGTACCTTGCACTTTCCTTTTTGGTTTCGTAGGTTGGGTGATAAAGTTTATACAGCGTTCCAAATCTCTATGTTTTTGGAGTAAAATTCCACTTCGGATCATGTTGATCTATCTATAGTTTGACACGACAATTTTGTCTAACAGTGCAATTCATTTTCGTTTTCCATCTGTAAATATAATGTTATTAGGATTATTATTAACCACTGTTTACCATCAGTCCAGTGCAAGTGTGTTTCCTCGGGTGGGCAAATACCCTGGGGTTTTCACGTAACCGCATTGTTCAGTTGTAAAAAGAACCCCAAGGGATGTTGATTCTTCTCTCCATTTGTCTACCTCAGTAATAAATCAAAGGTGACAGCCACGGTATTACAAACAAACAAGCAGCGTTCGGCCGCACCCCCAAAAAATACGCCTGAATTGGATGCCTTCAAGACCATGGTCAAATCCTGTTCAGACAAATTTTGAAGACAACGTACACACACCAGATAAATTGAATACATTGTCAGCAACTTACTAACAAAAGGGTTTTGATCAATAAACTCAAAAACTTTCTCCGTTCCGATGACAAAACTTCCAACACATCGTCCGGGCAACACTTTCTTTGTAGCATTGGTTACAGCTCCTCTCTCAACCAAAGGAACCACGCCATCGCTAAACATCTCGGAGTGAATTCCAAGGTCTTTGTGGTCCATTAGACGGCTCAGACATGCATCGGGTATGGAACCAATGCCTAATACAGGTGAAGGAAATAAGAATCAGAAGAAGAGTTTAACGGTCAGTTGCTGATTTGAAAGCCCTGGAATAAGTTTGTGAGTTGTATGTCAACATTCACGGGATGAGGTCAGTCCTGAGTGTAACTAAAAATTACCAGAGGTGCGTGCGCACAGTTTTCCAAATTAATCCCACCCCGTCTCTCACATCGTTTTGACGCGGGTGACTTGATTAAATTTATGTTGAGGTAATCATACCTCTTGGCCTTAGGATCGGCAAGCAGCAGTTACGAATTTTACATAAGGCAAAATCGGGGGAAAAAAGGGACATACATGTTGTTTTAAAAAAAGCTACAGCAGAATTACGTAGGCAACTGCACTGTTTTCAAAATTTTCTTTACTCATTTTAGTTTTCCTTTTTTTTAAAATTGTCTTCAACGTTTTTCTGGTACAACAGCGTGCAAAGGAAGTCGTGTCCGATAGCCCGGGGTTAGTGGATTTTCCTATCGGGCTGGTGATTTTTGTTCTTAACTTGCCCGACGGGCAAGTGCTGTTCTTTGGGGAAATTCAAATTACAGAAAGATTGTAATCAATCCTGCTAATCAAAAAGGGTTTTGGGGCTAGTTGAAATGGCTTGTGGGCTAGTACATGCTAGCTACAGCTTGCCCGAATGGCAGGCTGTAAAACTGACTTTCTTTTACCCTGTACAGTGTACGTACCGTGCACACTTGCTTACAGGACGGTATGTCTCCCAGCATTCAGCTATTTCTGTTAAGGTTGTTGGACCTAAGCTATCAAGCCTACGATACGCCACGTTAAGGGTCACGTGGGTAACTGTAAGCCCTTTAAGATTTGTTCATAATTTCGTGGTTGTGCTATAGAATGGTATAAAAAGTCAGAACGGTACGGAGATAAAAAATTGTTACGATCAGTTAGAATTACATAGGAGTTGCCAATCAGTGAGAGTAACAAAATGAGGTCATTGCTTATTTTTTCTTGCCGTAGTATTTCTCGGCACATTTTGTGTTAACAAGTGAGAGCCTCTCATTATTCAGAGGAACTGTCTCCGAGTTTTACATTTTCGTGGACAACAATGAGCTAAAACAATTCTGTGTATTTCAAATGCATTGTTAGATATTGTACAGATTATGATTAGATGGTGACTTTGCTTTACCTTTGTATGGCATAAAAAATTAATAATATGTAAACTGACCCATTTGGAGAGTAGCACCATCATCCACAAGATTCTCAGCAATAAGTTGACCAATTTTAGCCTCCTCTGGTGACTCTGGTTTAACTTTAAGTTCTGGAAGTTTAAACTCTTGTACACAAAGCACATCAAGATGAGACTGATGAATTCCTCCTGGGCCATGTGTGCGTGGACAGCGGGGGTTTACAAGTCCTAATTAACCAAGAATAATGAATCAACAATACTAAAAAGCCACCTACAAAACAAACACGTTTCTTAACTTTGGAAATTTAATTAGCACCCCACAAATTGTCACTAGTGAAGAACCTGCTACTGCTGCCAGCTATTGTACAATAGTTATTTTCCTCAAATTTTGAGAACATTGATGGGTTCCATACAGGAATACAGAAACCCATGATATTTTGGAGGTAGAGTCATGCAAGTTTAAAGGATTAGCAAATCAATAAGACCTTTAAATGCAGATAATACATAAATGTGTATTGTATCCTTGTCAGTTATATGATAATGATTTGAAATCATGATTTTTATTGCATAATCCTGTATATGTACAATGTATAAGTATAACACATCATACTTATTGCCCATCGGTGTAGGGGTTAATGTGGACAAATTAAAGCAATTTGAAATAAATCACCTCTCATCCCAATCCAGGGAGGAAAAAAAAAAGTCTGTGGGGATTCCCGAAAGGAAAGTTGTACTCCGCCAGGTCTTCATCCACCATGAGCACTCAAGATCGATGGTGCCTTTTCAAACTTGGTGACCATCCTTGACTGACAAATCACAATGCATGGAAGAACAGCCAGTAAAACCATGTGACCAATCTATAGACTTGAAACACAAAGCTACTTGCGTTCTGAGTTCAAGACCATCTTACCTATAATGTACTTAGCATTCTGTATAGCAGCTCGTGTACAGTCGACACTTGGTCCAAGGGTGCAAAATCCATGTTTGTCAGGAGGACTGACTTGTATCAGGGCCACATCTAGATCAATTATTTTCCGATGAAATAAAAGTGGAATCTCACTCAAAAATATGGGTGTAAAATCAGCACGACCCTCATTCACAGCTTTACGGCAGTTTGCTCCAGTAAACAGAGAATTGCTTCTAAAAATTCCTAAACAAAAAATATACATATTGAGCTTAACCTCTATTTTATCTTAATAAATAATATTTTATTAAGAAAACAAAGATGACATATAGGAAGAATACAAGTATTAATTATCCTTAACATACATTATTTTCCATAAGAAGGGTCGAAGAAAGACGGAAATATTACATTAGACAACCTAGATCAATGCCTCGAAGAAGAAGGATTGACAGTTGGAAATATTGATCAGTAATACTCAAGTTGCAGCTTTGTTCTTCCCTGTTTTGTTAATATTACTAGATTAATATGTCCATCTTCAAAACTGACAACAAGCAAATAATATGTTTGATGTTCAGCATGCAGTCAAACCTCCTCAAATGGCCATTTCTCCTCAATGACCACCTCCCCACAACAGTCCCTTTTTTGGCCGATAGTCCATACATGGACTCGTTTGAACCTCTCTAAAATGGGCATCTCTCTACAGTTGCCAATTTCTTCTGTCCCCACGGTCGCTATTGAGGAGAGGTTCAACTGCCTTGATTTCATACATGTAGCTTTCAAGAACTAACTTAAGGATTAGCTGCCCTAATTTGCAGTATTGCTAGCGGGTTTAGGATCAGGGCTTTTTTTTTTTTTTTCGATAAAAGTCAATTTATTTGCCATAAAAAAGGAATTGCTAATGTTTGGAGTGCTCCATACTAGCTGTTATAAAGGGCATCCTAGTTTTCAAAACATTGAAAGTTTTAAATTTTTAATTTATGGTGGTAAAACCAGACTTACCAAGGCTCAACATGATTTTGAATGGAAATATATGACAAGACTCATATTTTCTCATGACCTTGTCAAGAGTCTCACAATTTAATGACATACTTTATTGGTACTTAACTTGAATTTCATGTTTTTCCTGATTATAAAAGTTAAGTTCCCACAAAATTAAGTACCAATAACATATCTCATGCTCTCAAGAGCTAGTTGACAACTGATTCTCACGCTTTCTCAAAAAGTCACAAGTACTCCTCAAAATTTTTGGAACATCAATAGGATTTCTTTCCAAGGTAAGTATAGCAAACTAAATCTAAAGAAAATGCCTGGTGATCGCTTTAGATTAACAAACATGTTCATTCAGAGTTCTTACCAGGATTTTCTACACTGAGGTCCACAGGACCCATACTAGAGAAGCTAAAAGGGGTTCATGAGGGAGAAAAGCAGGTCACAATTTTAGATAGAGTTAACTCAACATTTTCACAGGTCTGAGTTAGAGTAAATACCTCATACTCCTTTCTCAGAGAATGATGGGTGTTTTCTTACGAGGCTAATAACCAATAAAATTTTGGCTTATATTAATTATAAGGAAATGATTTCTTCTTTGCTCCCTTGGGTTCCCTGGGCTATACAATAATTATAAAGAGCGGCATTTCCTGAAAAAGTGCAGCCATGCCACAATGCCATGGTCTGGTAAGAACACTGTTCATTGGCAACTTGGTGCGTTGTTTACATTATTTTTTCAGCCATGTCTTCAGCCTACCGCGAATTCTACTGCCACTTGTACAGTGATACCCACCTCATGGCCACCTCGTTAAAATGGTCACCTCAATATTACAGCCACGTTTTTAAGCCCAGTAAAGCAGCCATATATTTCTGTACCTAAAAACCCTTATTGATGCGTTTAAATGGCCAACAGCCACATTTTGAATACCAAGACAGTAGAATCTTCTACAATTTTACCCCATTAGTACAGTAACTCTTTCTAAACTCACAATGTAGAAAATTAGAATGCTTGTGACATGCCAAATTTATTGACCTAGTAATAAGGTGAGCCTGATCTTTCGACTATCTTACATTTCAAGTGTACTGTAGTCTAAAAACAGTACAAGTACAAGATAATCGAAAGATCAGGCTCACCTTACCAGGTCAATGAAATTGACACGTCACAAGCACTTTAGTTGTGGCAGTTAAATAACCGATTTTTAAAAGTGCTTTAAGTACCGCAGGAAAGTTTCAAGAAGTTTTTGTAATTATTAGTGGTTCAAGAAGTGCAAATGCAATGTATGATGTATTTGTTCTTACAGCCCTCAGGTTATGAAATTTGACCCTACCCTGGTAATACGACCACCCTATTAATACAGCCCAATTTTTTAAGTGGACCCATTGTTGGTGACCATATTAACAGGGTTCCACTAGCTGTATTAATTACTGCTGCCACCAAATCTGCAAACTCACTATCAAAATAAACCTAAATATTTCATTTCAAGATCACTGCCAACAAATAATAATAATAATAAATAATAATAATAATATAGATTCTTATTTTACTGTTCCAGCTTAAAATGAGATACAAGACTTCTATCCCTCAATGTTTCTTTGTTATCTCACATGGCAGGAGCGACCAAAGAAGATTTTGCCTTTGACTGATGTTTACTGTTCCAAATTTTTGTGTTAAAATGAGATAATAAGACTTTCTTTCATTAAACCCTTAATCCCTGCTGGAAGTCTTTGAGTTATCTCAGGACCAAACTGACGAGCTTCTCATACCCTGTGAAACTGTTTTAGCAGATGTCAACAGGCCTTATTACCTTCAAACTCAGGTGATACCACCTTGTCATGTGCCTCTGTGTGGATATGGATCAGTTCTACATTCTTTAACTGGGCTTCTTGCCCTCTCTTAGCCAAAGCATCAAGTAATGGAAGAGGAGTAGCAGCACCTCCATGGACGAATACTTTCATTCCTAAAGAGAGAAATGTGATAAGATATAACATTAATTTTTTAAAAGACATAGAAAGTGCTTTTTCATACTTATAAGGTACTTGCACAATAACTCCGATCCATCGAAGTAAGTACATGCAAGCAGGTTTCAGTATTAACCCATTCGCCCCTGAATTGCCTGTAACCACCCGTGTGGATCCACATCCCTTCTACCATTTGTGACTTTAACAATTAGGGACAACTTTGTCCGTTAACTTGTGCAGGGTGAAGAGATCTTTCAAACCATACCAGAATAAGCACGACTAGGTCTAGGAGGCCAGAGAAAAAGGCAAAAACATTGATCTGAAACTTTCCGTGAAAATCTAAGTTGTTCCTCTATGTTACCCACCTTTTCCTTTCACCTAATCCTAATATTCTAAAAGCTCTCCCAAAACCTTTTAACCAAAAGTGAAGCCTACTAAATGCCCAGCAAAAGAAAAACAAATGAGACAAAAAAAGTGAAAGAAAAAATGAAAAGAAAAAGTAAAGACTGCTGAGACACTTTTAAACCTAAAAACTATTTTGAAATTTTGCTTTCTGTGTATTCCTGAGCTTCGAAAGCTAATGTTTTGCTTCTGAATCGAAAGGCTTAAAAGCGTACAACCTGAAAATTGCTTGATTAGCTTTAATAAAATGCGTTTTTCAGCAAAAGTCGCAAGGGCGATTTGGTTAAAGGGATCTGTAGGGATTTAGCCAGACTGATTGAAAACTGGAAGATATCTCCCAAAAAAATTGTCAGAGGTTTGAAAAATTTCCTTTAATTTGTTGTTTCCATTTCATTAACGTTTTATCTGAAACTTTTGACAATTTTATTCATTTATTTATTTTTTTTATTTTTATTTCTGACCTTGAATTGAATTAATTCCAACAAAAAGTGCTACACATCTGTGTTTCCATAAATCTACTTTTACTCTAATGCCACTAACTAACACTATCAATCTAATAATAATAATAATAATAATTTAAAAATTTACAACATGCTAATATCTATTAAATATAATCAACATTTTGAATACATCAAGTCTAGATCCCAGCCAACTCTCTTCACTGTACACAGACACAAACTGATTTCTCACACCGTTATAGAGTGAAAGCTTGTATTATTTGGGGTTTACCCACTATGCCTGACCCCAAGCCTAGCCCTAGCCCTAGCCATAATGCCCCCACCCCACCCCAGTTCTTTCACAAAACACTGGCAGAGCGCAGGTTTAACACAGGTAAATTGATATGTTTTAGAATTTTACGAAATAATGATCCTATGACCTTTCAGTAATATTTTTACCACACTGCTCTAGCTAGCGTCAAGAAAATTAATGCTTTCAAATGATCGTGATAATTAAGATTCGCTGCAAACTTCGCATCACTAAAATGGAAACTAGACCTGCTGTAGCTTATTCAAAAATATAGTTAGTGACCTGATTGGATAACTTCCATAGCTTCATAAGGTGATTTCCAAGCTGGAGTTCTACCGGGAAGTGGATGAAACGGCTCAGGAGAATATGTATAATAACTTCGATCTGAGGGAAGAAAAAGAAAACTGATGTCAAAATACATAAGACTATTATTTATAGCACATAATATAAAAAGCAGGCTTCAGCTTGAGCTTTGCCCATTATTTAAGATTTTAGTCAACCATAGCTCACTTGATCGTTTTTCTCGAATTTCATACTGCAAATAAACCCTCAATTCGCATCAGTAAGAAAAAAAGAACGCAAAAAGCACATTATTTCAACCCACCTTGTTTTCGGAACCATATTTCCTCACGCGAGTCTTTGAGTGCGAAAATGTACCTCGTCTGCGATAGAAATCCTCGTTGAGTTACGCAGCGTAATAACTTGGGTAGCCGTGAATATAAGGAAGACATTTTCCTTGAAAACTGCCTACCTATAACTCTGTTAGACGTTTAATTTCGCTTGGCTATCGGCTTGAATGACAAAGTGCACGTCTGGCCGGGGAAATGAGCACCGGAAACCCAGCTGAACCATAGTACGTCATTCCGGCAGCACCATATTTGGCATATGAAAGGGAAAAAGGGTAACGCAACACGCGCATGCAAGTTGTGAAAGACAGCAGTCAGTCACTTTTTTTCTCAAAATCGGTTTTGGCCGTAGCGGAGCGTAAGATCACGCGCGCGAGAGAAAAATCCCAGTCTCTCTCTCTGTTTTCTCGTGTGATCCCGCCAAAATTTAAGTTATCTATTTTCGGTATATCGCTAAATTGTGGCCTGTAAATTTCCCATTCCCCCAGCAAAGTTTGTCCTGTGTTATCAGGGGCACCCAACGAGAATACAGTTCAAACCACTTGAACATAGCATTGTTGAACGTGTTTTGGTATTTAAACAGTAGATATAGGCATATTTTTATCCCCTAAAAATTTTTCATCTGTCCGGATTTCCAAGCTGAAAGTCTAGTGATACGAAAATTATGGGGATCAAAACTTATCTTTTCGAAAATTTCAGCCAGAAAATAGGCTCCCGAAAATTCTAGGTGACCTTTTTTAGGGTAAAAATTGGTTAAAATGGGCAATTGCACCATTTTTTAGATGTTCAAAAATCCTAGGAGAGGCAGACAAGCAAGAAATTTTTCAACATATGTTCCGAAAATTCTAGATCTCAAATCGTCTTCCGAACAGATATTTTCCGAAAATTAATGTTGGGTGCCCCTCTGTTATCAAATCTGACAACACCAAATTCTGTTCTGTGATTCTAATTTCGATAACACCAAATTCGATGTCTCGACATCAAATTCTGTCAGTCTAAATCCTATCCCGTGTTTCGATAACGCTAAATTCGATGCCTCAGACATTCTGACCATTCTGTCACACTAAATTCTATCCCGTGTTCTCAAAATTCGTTTGTACCAAGTACTAGTCCTGTGCTGTGCACCAATTTCGATAACGCCAAATTCGATGCCTCAGTCGACATCAAATTCGGTCACGCCAAATTCTGTGGGACACTAATTTATACTCTGTAGCAGCAAGCGAATTCAGCAGGCACTTAACAAAATGTGTCAGTGCGCGCACTAAGGGTGTGTTCCTTTCGAAGAATCCAAAAAGGGATTTTTGATCCTAGATTTGCCAGATTTCGCGGTCGAAAGGAACGTGAAATCCGAAATTGGATTTGTAACCTTGGTAACCTTTCGCCAACGCGTGCAATACGCACGACAGCCTCTCAAAAACTGACGTGTTTTCTACAGTGTTTGACAAATTATGCGATTATACCGTGCAGAATTTAGTGGTCCGCAGTTCGAATAGCGACGATGGAACATATAAAACAGACAAAGAAAGAAGCGCATTGAAATTGAAAATTATCTAAAGAATGTCGACCACTTTGATCCAGTTCCATAGCTCGGATTTTTTTATGTAACACGATCGAGTGTCTGTCGCGTCTACAAGCGAGTTTGTAGTTAGATAGCAGTTCATTTGTTACTTTTACTTATTTCTGATTTCAAGCAATCTTTAGAGACAAATGTTTAGTTTATGGATATTTTAATGTAGCAGGAACAATCTTCTAATGTTTTCGGATGTTTTGCGGCAAATGACAGCAGCGAGGAAACTCTACGGCCTCTATGGGAATACTTCAACTGGAAATACCGCTGGATCATCTGACTAATTTCGGATCCACTGTGAATGGAACAGCGTAGATCACTAATCCGTTAATCTGGATTTGGATTTTTCGGATTTCAAATCCAACGAAGAATTCACCAGGTCAAAAATCCGGATTTGGACTTGCCAAAAGGAACGCGAAATCCGTTCTTAGATCTGAAATCCGTTTTTGGATTCACCGAAAGGAACACACCCTAAATTGCAAATCCAACATTTTCAAATCCTGGTACCCAGAAGGGCCGGGAATCAAGGCCTGGTTACATAGTAAAGGAGCTACCGTAAAATTCCGAAAATAAGTCCCGGGGCTTATTTTTTTCAAAGGCCCTTTTTGAGGGGCTTATTTTTGGAGGGGCTTATGTGCGGAGGGAAATTTGCTTTTCAAAATCGATTGGGCTAGCTTGTAGTGGGAAGGAAATTTACCATTTTTGCTTTGTTTTACTTTGTATTCGAGAGCAAATTCCATGTACAAGCCCCCCGGGGGACTTATATTCGGAGGGGCGATTAAACGGAGGGTTTTTTGCGTTACGATTTTGAGGGGCTTATATTTGGAGGGGCTTACACATGGAGGGGCTTCTACATGGAGGGGCTTATTTTCGGAATTTTACGGTAATTTATTTGCCGCGCTGAAATAATTATTCCGTTTCACTCCATTATGGCTGAAAACTCTTCTTCGTCGAGACCCTCGACATGGTCATGTACTTCATCAAACTTTACCACGTAGTATCTTTGCTTAGACAAGCAGAGACTTTGTTACAGTCATCTGTGAATCCTGTAGCACAACAATCAAGTGCCGAAGCGAATGAATGTTCATCGAGCGCAACAGCTGATCAAAATCGATCGCTACCGTACGCCCTTGCCTTACCCTTGTTTAGGGCTGGCTGGGCCATCTGCTGGTCCACCGACGAAGCGCAAAAGAGGGAATGGCGTTTTTGTTGTAAAAGAAACGTGGTCACACGAGTTTTTCTGTCTGGCGAACCACTGCTAGTCACATGTGCCCTCCAGAAGTGAAAAGTTCCACTTGCAAGACGCCGGACTCAGGACGAAAACAATCGTCTTCCACCGCAAAGACCAACCTCTCGCCTCTGCCGAAAAGATGGAATCAGTTTATCCGAAACTTAAAGACGCAGGTGGCTTTGAACTGCTGAGGAGTGTGCCGTCTAACTAGGACCTCGTGGCCATTACTCTGCCGGCATCCGGGTACTCTGTTTCTTTCCTAGGCGAATCTTCAGGTCTTGGGCAAGCAGTGGCCTACATTAGACCACTACAAAAGCTTCTAAACATGGCGGTTGCGAAAGATGTTTTCAAGGTAAGTTTAACCGGACTTAAACCATTTTGGGGGCGTGGGTGGATTCTTTGTCAAGGTGAAATTTCCTCCACAGTAACCCGCGACTACGAACCTGTTAGGCCACAGGTAGCCCAAGTTCGAAATATGAGCATCGACGATCACTGGCATTGTTGCGTACCATTCGAAATATAAGGATTTGTATGGTTTTCTCTATACGTAAGGATTAGCCTGTGTACAGACGTCCCCTCTCCCTCAAAAAAAAAAGTCTCGATGTTTTTTAGGGAGGGGGTACGTATGTACGCAGGCTATATAAGGATGAGAGAAAACCGTTTACAGTACCCCCCATAAAACGGTCATAAATTGGCCTATGGACCACACAGAAGAGATGTAACACACATTTTATGTAAGGTAAGCTGCTTTTATTGTAGTCCATTCATTTTCGTAGGTTACAGAAACGATAGGTTTTTTCCCCATACAAATCTTTATATTTCAAATGTTACCCAACAATTCCGATGCTTGACCATGCTCATATTTCTTATCATGCGAGGTATAATGTGATGCTGGACTCTTTTTTTATCAACGCAACAATGATAATAGACAAAATGGTGTATGTAACCCCATTGTAGCAGGAGTCCATGACTTCTCGAAGACTTATGGCTGTTGTCATGGTAACAGCACTTTTTTTGGTATAATATTGTCTTCATCACATTGATTCGGCCAAGTGGTTTATCAGCCAACAAGGGTGAACAGGGCATTTTGAGCGAAATGTTTAACACCCACACCACAAACACGTTTTCTTGCCTTAAATGTTTTTTTTTTCGCCTTTGCTTTGCTACCAAAATGCAAGTCAGTTATGTCCCCCATAAGGTACCTATTATCTGGCCTACTAAAAACAATTTTCCCCATTTAATAATGGCTCTTTTAAGCGATTTGGGTAGGCTGCTATTGAAAGAATATCATACAATCCTTACAGCCCTTACAGCCCTTACACGGTACAACCCTTACAGCCTTTACAGCCCTTACACTCTTACACAGAGAAAGCAGAGAAAGTAACTTACTAAAGTAGCTAATCATGTCTTGGCTCATTTTTTGGTGCGTTAAACTACCTGCAAAAAAATAACTTTTTTTTCTTTTCTCAATGCCTTGGCTTCAACTGAGAAAGAAATAGGGATAATTAGAGATAAAAGAATGGACCATTAGAAAAGTGATGAGGGGGAGGGGTGGGGATTTTGAGGGTGCAAGATTTTTTTCTTTGGTAGATGCAAGGTAGAAATCTCTTTTTTTTTCCTCCTTGGTTTTAAACTTTTTTTGGTCAGAATCCATAAGAACTTTTTTATATTAATAATTTCGTGGGGAATTTTTTTTCTGCTTTTGTCCCCCTGCCCCCCACCTCCATAACTTTTCTAATGGTCCATCCCTAAGCTGCTTAACTACAGTAATGAAGTATTAAACCGGCACGCCAATGCTGCACGTGCTTTGGAAAGACTGAATCAACGACCTGTTGAAATTTAAAATATCTGCATCTGTTTATTATTGTGCCCTGCGAGAAAGTCTTACATCGCTTGTTTGGACTTAAAGGTATGAATCAATGTGACAATTTATTTCTTACCGACTTGAGAGAGCGGAAAAGAGAGAGATCTGATATTTCACAGGCCCTGGAGACTGTGAAAAGTACATCTCTTTCAGATTTAGACGACATGAGGAACACTTTGAGTGTGGGAGTACCTACTATGGCTCTTTAAATTGAAAGTACTAAACGCCTTACAGCTGCCTAACATCATACGGGAAATATCAACTGGCCTTCCAAAGCTAACTAAGAAGGCGCTCCTGACATATTACTGTTCCAAATTTAGTGAAATTCGAGGAGATGTGAAAGTAGAGCGTTGCGTAAGGCTTCTTCAGTTTTTAACCGAAGGGATTGAAACCCACAACTACGAGCAGAAAGCAGTGGAGATCCTCGCACCACCAGTAGACAATTGTATAAACTGCAACAAGGCACTGGTGGCACAGAACCAAGTCTGTTCATGCAGTAACGGTGTTTTCAAGGAATGATGTGAAATCTGCCATGAAGTTTTCT